GTGCGAGCTCGTATCTGTTTTTAAGGCTTACTGGACGTAGGAAAGACACCGTAAGGAAGCCTCTTAGGGTTTTACTTAATGATAATCAAACCAAGAAAATATTTCAGGAGCAACTAGAAAGAGAGTTAAGCAACCATGCAAGCGATTCCCATCCAGAAACAGGTTGGTATGATATCAAAAAAGCTGTGGAAACAGCAGTGATATCTGCTAGTAAGGTAAACCATGAGGCTAGGATGAAGCCGTGGATTTCAGTCGCATCCACCGAACTGATGGATGCTCGAAAACGCATCCCACCTGACTCTGAGCATGATGAAGAGCGTAGTCAGCTTAGGCGCAGACTTATAAAAAGTCTGCGTAACGACCGCGAACAGTGGTGGGTGGCAAAAGCAAAAGCGATAGAAAAGGCAGCGGCGATCGGCAACACTAGACAACTTTTCCGACTTATCAAGGAAACTGGTATTAAGAACCCGAATGTGAGTGAGACTATCTCGGAAAAGGATGGTCTTATTATCCATTCTCAATCCAGGAGACTGGATCGATGGGCAGAACACTTTAGGGATCAGTTCAACTGGCCTTCAGCCACACTTCGGTTGCCCACGATCTCCAGTCATCCTGAATGGCAAATCGACGTAAGTCCCCCTAGTCTTAATGACGTTGAGAAAGCGTTAGGAAATCTGAAACGAGGACGAGCTGCAGGTCCTGATAGACTGATCCCTGAGATATTTAAGGATGGTGGTCCAGTTTTAGCAGCTAGGTTGACTGAGATCTTAGGTAGAATCTGGGAACTGGACGTAATCCCATCCGACTGGTCTCAATCCTTGATTGTCCCAATCTATAAGAAAGGACAAAAGTCTTCTTGTGACAATCACAGGGGAATAAGTCTAACTAATATAGTATCTAAAATACTGGCCTCAATAATACTTCGACGCTTAACGAAAGCTCGTGAAGAGCAGACTCGAGAAAACCAGGCTGGTTTTCGACCTGGACGTGGTTGTATAGACCACATTTTCACGCTCAGACAGGTCCTGGAACATAGACACACATTTAGGCGTCCTACAGTAGTTGTTTTCCTAGACATTAAGGCGGCATTTGACTCTGTGGATCGTGAGGTTCTGTGGGAGTGTCTGTCATTGAAAGGTGTACCACAGAAGTACATTAAACTCATACAAGCTCTTTACTCGAACACCACTGGTCGAGTGAGAGCTTATGGCGAACTGTCACCGGAATTCTCTACATCAAGTGGTGTCCGTCAGGGATGTCCACTTTCTCCATTCTTGTTTAATTTTATCATAGACATGCTCCTAGACATAACATTATCCTCGTCTGAATTTTCAGGAGTAGACCTTCTACCAGGTGGCTCGCTTATTGACTTAGAATATGCCGATGACATTGTCCTACTTGGTGAAGACGCTGACAAAATGCAGAGTCTTCTGACTACCCTAAGCAACAATGCAAGCATGTTCGGGATGCGGTTTTCCCCCTCGAAATGCAAAATGTTGATTCAAGACTGGGTTGCATCGGCACCTGAACTAGTGATAGGGAGTGAAGTAGTCGAACGTGTAGACCGCTTCACTTATCTGGGGAGTCTCATCAGTGCCGATGGCCTGGTGACTGACGAAATCTCAGCACGGATACAGAAAGCTCGATTGGCTTTTGCCAACCTGCGTCACTTATGGCGTAGGCGAGATATCCGTTTGCTGACTAAAGGACGAGTGTACTGCGCAGTAGTTCGCTCCGTCTTACTTTATGGCTGTGAAACATGGCCAGTGAGAGTAGAAGATATTCGTAGGTTAATGGTTTTCGATCATAGGTGTCTTCGAAGCATTGCTCGTATATCGTGGGACACCCGAGTGAGCAACGCTGTTATTAGGAATCGGGTGCTAGGTAAGAATGGCAGATCAATCGATGAAGTATTGAAACTTCACCAGTTGAGGTGGTTGGGACATGTGTTGCGTATGCCCAACCACCGGCTGCCTCGTCGAGCCTTGTTTTGTAGTGTAGGAATAGGTTGGAAGAATGTTAGGGGCGGCCAAACGAAAACATGGCAGAAATCCATGAAGTCATTGACTAGTGGACTGAGCCATGTTGGTAATTGTCGACTACCTGGTTGGGGTCCGCGAGATGATAATAATCGATGGTTAGAGACCTTGAATGACATGGCTCAAAATCGTTCGCAATGGCGCCGGTGCATTTATTCTCTGTGTTCTCTCAAATCCTAATCTTCTGGACTCATCAACCCCTCTAGTTTCGACTCTCTAAACTTATCTCACTGAATCATACTTCTTGAATAGTATCTTCTAATCCTAACCTCTCCGATTATTTCTAATTCCCTTACTACCTCTTCTACTATTGGATTTGAATTGACGATTACTTCTCTGTGCTGATGTGGTATGGCAACATGAACTGATGTACTTATGTACAAAGTTCTACGTTGCATCTGACTGACTGACTGACTGACTGAAACCCCCATGGATTAAAAAAGAAGGCTTGATATGCAGTAGATCATGTATTCTGCAAGCATCCAGGAAGTACGAGGTCCGAGTCCAGAAGAGAATCAGGACCCCGGACTAGGGATCCGGGTCGTAAAACGTCACAGATAATGCGTTTTTATACAGTTAGGTCGGATAGGGAACAACATTGAAGTCTGTGACATTGATAGCTAGGACGACCACAATATTGACCAGTAGGAATCGACAAATAGAATTAGTCTTACAAATAATTCTCTTAGGATATTGAATGATTATCTTAACAAACTCCTTGTGTATGTGAAGCATTTTCCTCTTCATGACCAGAGTATAACTGCCGTTCCCCTTACGCTAGTCTCAGTTGTCCAACTTGCGTCCAATGCGTTTCACTGGTTCCAAGGACCTCCAGGTTGTGTCTTTTCATTCCTGCTGGAATTTGGATGACTTTCCCGGTCTCCCAGATTGTTGGAACATTACATGTACCCAAAAAATGGTTTCTGTGGTCGTGAGAATGGGCATCAGCCTCGTGACTTTTGAATGAGACATCATAACTTTTTCAAATTCTGACCTAACTACCAAGGCAGGGTTTAAATGGTTTGAATTATTTTTCCTGGTTAGCATTTTTTAGCGAGTTAGTTGTCTACGGAATGGGCTGGACAACCGCATTACCAACCCTCCTCCTTTATCCGGGCTTGGGACCAGCAGTATCCCCAGAGGGGCTTCAGGCGGACTGAGGGTAGCAGCTAAGGTCGTGGTTTATTAGACGTACAAAAGTTTATGAAGTGGAAGATCAAAACATGTGGAAGTCCCACCATTCATTGACTACAGCGTTGTACTCGTCGATGTAATTTTTTGAAGTGTGTTATTTAGTTTACTGTAAGAATTATTCAAACTACATTTCAAGTATTCGCCTTATTTATTCTATAAAGAAAACGAAAAGTGAGAGGGGTTTCATCACTTGTAGACAACATCATCTTGCCTCCTTCTAAGGCATTAAAATATTTTATCAGTTGTGACTTTTTATTATATTTACTTTTTTGATGCTGTTTCCTCATTATAATAATTCATTTGTATTACCTTTGTGCAGACACATGGCCACATTCTTATATCAGAAACAAAGAATGTAAACAAGCGATACCTGTAAAAGGACAGATCCGTAATGCTTTACTGTATTCCGATAACAATTCGCTCTACACAATCAGTCCTAATTCACTGCAAATGTTTACTTTCAACTGGAGTGCTTACGAATCACTTGGTAAAAATAGTATGAAATTCGAATTATCTGAGACAAATAAAATATTGCCTACACAACTTGGATGCTCTCGTTTTATTGATATTTCCTGGTATGTTCCGGGAAAGGAGCTTGCTCTATTAACTGAGAGTGCTTCCGGAGGCTGCTTGATAACTCTTAAGGTTGCAGGTAATTATTCCAAATAGATATGTTAAAAGAATGTTACAGTCTCTTATTTTTAACGCAACCATCAGAAAGTGAACTGTATAATATTGTTTCACTGACAGACAGGGAGAACATCATCAACGTGGAACCTGGCACAAATATGTGTTGGCTCAAATCACCACGCCTGATAAACGTAACAAGATGAAAATGATAAATGGTTAAGATTCATAGCTTCAACAAAACACCCTTCAAATGCTCAGGTCAGCAGTCACTTTTCACAGGCGTGTTGTGTTTTGTCGACTATTATCATTGTAAAGATATGCAGCCACATGTGTCATAAACAAATGCTGTTATTTTTTTGCTAGTTTAACAACATAAATTGAGCATCCAAATGACACTTTCCACAGCTTATCTTTAGCTTCTCAGCATGTTGACGCTGACATTTCGTTCACTCAATTTTGAATCTATAGGAAAGATGCATTATACCCTTCACCTCATCTCCTTTAGTACTCGAAGTTTAGTGAATCATATCCGAGATACAGGCACTATTGATATCCAAGTTGTAAGATCATTCAGTGGCGTTAAGCGAATTGTTCTGCTTGAATCTCTATATCTTAATAACCATTAATAAGAGTAGTCATAGTCTAACCAGTCTTTCTGATTCATCATAGGATATGTCCAGTGAATTTCCGTTAGAAATATATACTTTTAGATGGTTGGGCTGTTGAGTGGACAGTTAAATATTTAATGTCAAAGCCCTCTAGTTCTAATACTTCCCTATTTTCAAGATCATTCATAACAGCCCAAATGCATTCACTCTTTACTTTCTTCTCGATCTTGAATTCTAGTATTCCTTTATATATACCTTTCCTCTCTATCCTTTCACACCATATTTTTAATGTTCACCCTTTTCGTTGTCTTTGTTACCATATTACTTCGATTTGTTTGCTACTCATCTTTCGCCTTGTTCTGCGGTACGGCAACTTGGGCCAATACACACTCGTCTTAGTTTACATGGTTGATAGCTAACTGACACTTCGGTTTTGGCTTGTTGGAGGCCGAAGTACCAATCAAAATAATATAACCTTTCGGATCTACCTTTTACAGCCTCTCAACTAGCGTTGATTCAGTACCATCTATCCATTTCTTATCATTTACCCAGTATTTGAAAGCACGACTAGATATGAGTTATGGATCATTTCACAAAGCATTTCTTCGATGATTTTCTTTTTATCGTATAATACTTTCGTAATCTTTATTTTTTAGGTGAAAATCACGCATTGACTTCGCAGCTGTCTGTCCCGTTTAATCCTTCTCTTTTTCGCTTCTGCTCATCATATTTAACGTCTACAACTACTGATAATCTGCACAATTCTCGTTCTGTAAATATTATGACCAGAAATGAAATATGTATAAGCAACTACAATTATTGCAGTCCCCTCTACGTGTTAAATACTCATAATCAGTTATCCAGACGTAGAAATAAGGCGATATTCACGGCATGTTGTGAAGCTTCAATGTGGAAATCATTTAATCCTGTCAAAAAATCTATCAAATCTGTAAATGGTCGACAACCTCTCATGTATGTGGCAGGAGTATCTGATTCCAAAGGCTTTTTATCGTTAGTTGAACCATCTTTAACTCCTCATAAAAATATTCAGTTGATCAATTATCATACAGGTTATTGGACTACACTAGCACAACGTATACCAACAAACACACATTTAGAAGTAACTAGTTTGAAATGTTTTGGTACATCGTCTGGTGATCGGTTAGGTCTGATTGTAGGTCGTCGGTGTGGTCTAATTGAATTGTGGGATGATCGTTTTCCTAATAAACCAGTAATGGAATATTACGGTTCAGACGGTTCTGCCGTGATGTCAGTTGCATCTCATATTCCACCGTGCCCCGTTATCGATCCTGTCTTACAAACAACGATTGCTAGTCCATTATTACCAAATCATCATATTGGTATATGGGATTTACACAAAGGTGATGTAATTGACGTTTATGAGTTATCACATCGTTTATCTCAATCAACATCTTGTGTACCTCCAATTATAATGTATCGGACAAGTTGGAATAATCGATCTGGGTTAGTATGCAAAGGACCTGCACTTTTAGCCTTAGATGATGATTATATCCAGTGTTTTAATTAAAGATTATGTACATAAGACATACTTATTCTTTTATTAGCGTGTTTCCCGACGTAGTCTGTTATATTTGGCCTTCGTTAAGAGCCGAAATTAGTCGTAAAACTATTTCATTCCAGGTCAGTAGTCGACAATTGTGCTTACTTTAAAACCTAAATGTAGTGAGGTCGATTTGATATGATTTCGTCAATGGGCACTTTTGAATAGTTTCAAAGTAGGATGAAGCAACTAAATGTTTATCGGTTATCAATTTTTCTTCAAACTAACTCTTCACAGTATTTAAGATTTACTGCAATTTATTATCTTACTATTGTAGTGGATAAAATTGTCACATAACTTGATAGACAGAGTACTCTCTCTTTCATTTTCAAATAAAATATTTATTAGATCAAGCTAATTGTTCTTGAATAAAATCGTTTTGGAACAATTATAACATTTATTTAAGTATCAACATAACTGTCATTGCTCTTTTCTAATTAAATTGTATGTTTATTATCAAGAGTGTTTATGGTTGTCCAGAATTTCTGGAATTGTAAATAAAATCTAGAAATTAATTTGTCAATTTTCTTTTTAAATACACAGACTTTCACTTAATTCGTGTTTGTAATTTTTTTAAACTAAGACTTGTGTAAATTTGGCACGTGTATTTGTGTGTTTGTCTCGAATGTTTGTATTTGTTTAGGGGTAGGTTGGAAGACAGCTATAGGCGCCCAAAACATGGCACAAATCCATGAAGTTATTGACAAGCAGACTGAGCCATGTTGATAGACGTAAACTACCTGGTTGGTGTCCGCGAAACAATGGTAACCGATGGTTAAAGACTGAATGAAATGGCTCAAAATCGTTTGCAGTGATTACTTACTTATGCCTGTTGCCCCTAATGGAGCATAGGCCGCCCACCAGTGATGTCTTCTCTTAAATGCTAATCTTTTGAATTTCTCATTTCAAATCTATATCACTGGCATATACTTCCTAAATCATATCTTCGATCCTATATCTTCTCCATTACCATTAACACTTTACATTGTAACTGATTGACTGATATGTTTACTCTTCTATATAAGCTTCTAAAGTATTTGACATCATTCTGCCACATTATATGTTATTTCTACTAATACCGAACTTGGATATAATTAATATTTAATGATAGGCCGTTTTAAATTCATTTGGCCATAATTATGTAAACAGTCTGTTTTCTTTCCTTTGGCTGTAAACCGAAAGTAACGTTTTTCGCCATAGTGTTAATAACAGTAATGGCTGTGAGAAGCAAATTCCAGCCTTTCGTTTGCATGTACACATTAGGAGTGGAGGTATTAGTATTTTCAGTAAACTGTAAGTGTATGAAGTCTGACTACCAATACGGTTGTTAAAAAAACTTAAGAAGAAATAATTGTCACAGTGTTTAGTAGTTTTCCTAGTAAAGAGCGTCGTTATTGGGATTTGTCTTTTAGTCTGAGAATAACTGAACCCAAGGTATTAAGACTTTCCGATCTGTGTAGTGAAAATTGAGCAAAGCATTGCTTCATTAATTGCTCTTAGGTACAGTGGTGTTGCTCAACTGTTGTGATGGAGAATCTTGAGATTTTATGCACACCAAATTGGTTGATTCATTTCATAATTTATTTAAATGTATGCAAACATCGGATTAAATTTTTTGTAAGAACCCAGAATGCAGAGTTTATGTTTACTAGGGAGAATAAAATGTAATTGGTTGTGCAGTTTTGAGAAAAATTCCCTCATAACATAAACGGTCTTGTTTGTATGGTTCTATTTTGCAAACTTTTTCTTTGTATCAAAGCTCTAAGTATGTAGGCAAGGAAACAGAAACTTAATCAAGCATGCGTCGTTTGATTCCAAGCGGTTGCTTCCATATATAACTATGCTTGGTGTATTTAATTTGAAATTACTTCTGCCAGTTATAGATTTCTCTCAACGATGATATACTGTGATTTATGTTAAACGATAACATTTTATGGCTAGATATAAACTGTTAGCCACTTTTGAATCAACCAATTCGAAACTTAGTAAACTGATTTACTAGTTTATATAGCCATACACTTTTATAATAATGAATTAGAAATATTTCAGTAGGTATACATTAGGAATAAATAAGTAAATATGAAATTCAAAATAAGTGCCATTTTGTTCAATAATTAGTTATTGACTGATGACTTTCAGCAACCTGTTTAGCGAAATGAACTTTATTTTCTGCTCCAGTCTTCATGTTGAAGTTGACAGTTTTGAAGGGTTGACGTGTATCATAACAGATTCTGGCGACGGGTCCTACGCGAAAACAAAATCCTAGAATTTCGGTCTCAGAATGCCAGCTTAAATTGATTTTGTAGCAGCACCAAGAAGAGTTCTAAGCATTCCCATTGGAAATGGCGATACAAAAGTTTTCAACTCAAGAGAATTTAGTTCAGGTTCTCAAGTCGTGGAGACCAAATATCGAATTTCCAACCAATCCACTGGACGAGTTTTACTTTGATCTTGATGCAGGTATTACATTTGAACCACGGTTCAAGTGACATAGAGAAATTTTCCATGCTGATTTTTCGCATCTTGATTACTCTTCAAGGTGAGAATTTCTCTTCAGAAACTCGGAACAGCCGAATGTGACTAGTATCCAAATTTTATCTTGCCATAAAAGCCCAATAACTTTTCTTTCGATACCGCAAAAAAAACTGACAGATTTTTACTGCCAAGTCTTAATTTAATTTGCGATACAATTACCTCATGTCTGCAGAAGACGGAATGTGACATTGTTTCACATATGGTGCGTGTCAATAAGCAATGCAAAGAATTAAAGTATCTTTTATTTGCATGCCGGTTTTAATCACCATCAGATTCAGATATTCATCCTATAATTTTAGGTAAAATGGAACCAAACTCCAATCCCACATTGGATGGTATTACTAATGAATGTCGACAAATCGCTAATCTTAAAAATGACACCGAATGTCCAAATTTAAATTCCATACCTTATTCGATTATTCGTACGTCATATGATTCCATTGAAGTTCATTTAAATTGCATCAATAGGGCTTTAAACGATGACCCTCGGAAATGTTCTCTCTCAAATGGGAAATCTAATTTCTATAATGAGCGCATTACTCAAGGTCTCCCACTTGTTGTTGGAACTGTTTGGTATGGTATTTCTCCCTTTTCTGCACATTGAGTCACAAATGCCCAAAATGTTTAGTAAATGGTCGTAAGGAGGGATTTGAAAAACGTAACAAGCCCTCATCACATCAAATGTCGAAAAAAAAAACGCTTTACCGAATTCTAACCCCAAACGTTTACGCAGAAATGAGTCATTGTCAATGATGACGTTAGCGCACCACAACTGGATATTAGTCCTGGCGTCACTAATTTTTCAAAAAATTTGTACGGCCAAGCATCCATTCTGATTAGGATTTTTGGAATCATCAATAATGGCAGTAAATAAATCGAATAGCTCACTCCTAATATATACTAATCTGTCGACCAGACTAAACGATTCCCTACAAGTAGGAATATACATCCACTCCATATGATCTCATCGCACAGTTAAACGGTGGCGGATTCTTTGCGAAGATTAATTTAGCTGATACGAGTTTGTAAACTGAACTAGAGAAAGCGTTCAAAGAACTGATTGCCTTTAATATACATTGAGCTCTCTATCACTGTACTGACCGTCAATTTGGAGTTAAGTTAACCCTGGCCATGTTCCAGAAAGTTATCGTTGCAATGCTTACAGATATACCTGAGGGTCTGGGTCACATGGATGATATTATTGTGTTTGGGATTATCACGGAAGAATTATTTGACTGCTTGGATATGGTTTTCGTTCGCATCAAAAATTATAGTTTCGAACAAAACCAAGGGAAACGCGACTTTATGGTTTCAATAAATTACCTAGGACTTGTCAATCGTTATGTAAAATACCCTGATCTGCAGAGTATTGAATCCATAAAATAAAACCACCACCATTTAACATCGTTTCCGAGATGGTGGAGAAAATGTTTAGCTCAGGTAGATGATTGTGGTGGTGTTTCATTCTCTGAGCTGGTCGTTTTGGCTGTGGAGCTTTCATTATTCTTCTGAACATCATCAGCACAAACTTTTTAGAAGCTTGGCACTCAGGTCAATCAGCAATCAATAAACACATCGACATTGGCCCAATTTATCAACCAATCAGAAAAATCATAGGGGACATAGGATCAAGAAACAGATCAAAAAGGAGATACAATCAAAACATGTACAAACAACGACAGGTTTAAGGTCAACAACAACCAATCAAGATCGAGGTTAGCAGAACAAGCTACAGGTCAAACGTGGAGAAATTCGAATACTTCACTTCTATCTGAAGTTTGTGCTGATGATGTTGTTCAGAAGAACAATGAAAGCTCCACAACCAAAACAACCAGCTTAGAGAACGAAACATCACCACAGACATCGCTTCCGTATGATCATTGTTGGGGTCAGCTAAGCATTATGTCCTATCCCATCTATACATCAACACCTCACTCGAGATGAACTTCTGAGCAAAGAAACGAAATGAATCTGGTCTCGTAGATGTCAAAGAAACTTTGAAAATATCAAAAAATGATGTCATCCAATATACTGGTAGATTATTTTAACCCTAACCTCGAAATAATCATTATCTCCAATGCATCGAATCATGGACTCGTAGCTGTTATTTCACACATTTTTAACAATGATTCTCAGAAGTCTATTATTCAGGTATCCAGAACGTTATCCTTTTCGGAAAGAATTAGGGTTAAATAGAAAAAGAAGCACTGAAGATTGTTTTTGCAGTCATACAAATTCATAAAATAATGTATAGTTGACGCTTCACACTCCTAACAGACCATAACCTCTACTTATCCATCTCCGGTTCAAAGAAAGACATCCTAATGTATACCGCAAATCGCTTGCAGTGATGCGTTACATTTCCTCTTGGTTATGATTTTACTGTATGTCAACAACCAGTCTTGGACAGGATAATGCGTTATTGAAACTAATAAACTCAGACCGGCCAATCAATGAGGGTTGTGTCGTTGCGGCAGTATCACTTGAAGTAGAATTTAAGTGATTTATATCAAGTATGATCCATGCCTAGCTGGTAACGGCGAATATGGTCCAGGATGCGACACTGTTGGGTCATGAACTGAAGCAACGTTAACCTGACTTATTAATTAACCACTGCTTTCAGTTAAAATAAAAATATAATACATTGGGTCGCTTGATATTAACTTTCAGAACAAATAAAGATGAATCAGTTACTTAATACCAATAAATAACTCAGGAATTCACTTACAATTCATTGTATTCTACAGTCAAAATGACGATTTTCCTCACTGTAGTTTATTTTTAGTTAGTACGTTGCTTCTTTAACCAAAAAACGCAAATAAGCATATGATAAAGCAACAAAAGTATATTTTGAACATATGTAAAGTACAAAAACGAGGAGGAAATCACAGAATTTCTATAACAAGTTACTTTGTCATGATATGGGGTTTCATATACTTTGTTCAAAATTCACGAGACCTAATATTTAATAAATATAACTTATCTCGATAGTAAACTACCTTCCAATTGTTTTGTGGAAACATACATTATTATCGTTAATGTTTTTACAAGTTTAGTCTATGTAAAAGAACAGTTCTCTTTAAATTTGCCTATGTTTTGTTTTAATTTAGGAACGTACTTTCTGGAACCTGTTTTCAAGTAGCAGTTGATTATGTATTTAATGACTTCAGCGTTGTTGTACGTTTTAAATTTGTTGATCTTTCCGTTTTGACCGTACTGACATTTGTACCAGAAGTTATTTGACCTGAGGAAACAGCAGGTGACGACAATGCATCCTTATTGACTGTGAAAGATGTATTTGACTTCAGCTAGAATAAAGAAAATTAAATTGATTTGTTAAACAATTTCAGCAGATACATTTAGAATGGATTTATGCATCAGTCCGATGAAAACCAACACAGTTGATTGTTATAGATGCTTCTGAAGTTATTTTTATAACATACAACAATCAATTAGTTGTCTAATATGGTTCATTACCAAATATCGATTAAAAGTCACAGTAGAACAGATTACTCTAGAAATAGAATTAACTACAGTAACTATGACATCTAGTTGTTTTATGATTAACGATATTTAATTATTCATGAAATATAGACTATGATATAATTTACAGTGCTTAAGGTTGATTGTCATTTTGTTTCAGCTTGAACTGTCGGAGTAAATAAAAACAGAAAATTTACCATAAGATTTTTAAAAAATTTATTTGCAATTGCACTTTTTGTCAAGAAATTAGTGTCATGAAGGTTCAAACTTTCAAAAACGTAATTGATTAGTTCTATAAGACACCAATTTATCGCTATTATAAGAGTTACTGGTTAAGATGAGACGGCAGTACGTGATACTAAACAGTGTTAGGAAGAATACTGGAATAGGGATGCTTCATTTTCGCCTCATTATGTCAGAAAATTACAGTTTTTGAATAAACTTGCAAAGGAACCAGTTCTAGGAAATCAATTCACACTATTTCGAAACGGTTATAACACTATTCATTTGGTTAGCAATCAATTTGGTTTCTATGATCGTTAAACTAAGCCATCCTACAGAAAGTAATATATTAGGACGTGAATACTTTCATTTATCCAGGAATGAGTAACTAGTAAAGAACTTGTATCAATAACCCCTAAAATATACTGTACTTGAAAGTTTTTCACATTGAAAAATGAGCACCTTAAAAAAGCTAATTTATAAAAAAAAATCAGTATCAGTTACTCATATGTCTTACTATGTTTTCTTACAGCATGAGAAACTTCAAAAAATTGTCACAACTATTCAATATGATTCGCTTTATCCTGACTCCATAACTTTGGTTGTAGTGTGCTTAAAAGTTACTCTATAAATTTACAAGTGGTGTAGATAAGTTACGATAGACATGGCAAACGAAAGTAGACATAAAGTTAGTTCGATATCTAGCTATTAGATGAAGTTCGTAGAGAGCCCTTAACAAAGATTTCGTACTAGTCGACCGTCATCATGAAGGTGCGTTTTCAACTGAACCTGTTGAATTTGATCACCATTAAAAAACTGCAAAGATGTTGATTATTGCTAAACGGTCAGTCAGTATTAGTCACGATAAAATATGGAATCATCGATAACCAGCGGGCAAAGGAGTATTGTTTGGTTTCTCTTCGAAACTTTCCGGTAGTACTCACTATCACCCTTATATGTGATAGAAAATAAGAACTTAGTGTCTCGCAGACTAGTGAACCTTATTCAAACCGTCAACATTTACAACTCAGTTGTTAACATCAGCCTGAGATGGAAACAAACTAATGGCTCTAAAAATCTCTAGCTCAACAATACCTGTGACGAGTCTTGAGACAATATCTCAAAAGTTTAGTCTAGCAGTATCAAAAGCAAGGTGTATATAACTAGTGACTTTGAAGGATTATCGCTCTCTGCTTCAAACTGACTGTAATTGTAAGCACTTACCAATAAGTGTGAATTTGAATCGAATTCGTTGCAATGAATTCAATTATGTTGTAGGCCAACTGGCCTTCCTTGAAATATGTGTAGTGATCCTTTAAAAACTCGAAATTGTGGCTACTATTTCTTTTTGAATCCTTTTTTCGCTTGCTCATTTCTATGACGATGTAAATTTTGGCAAATATCGAAGAATATGCCACGTATTATGTACTGTATGTCTGTCGGTTACACTGATTTATTAATAAAATGATTATTCTAATTTACTAAGGTTTCTGCTTTTAGTTGAAAATCTTAACACAAAATTATCTTATAATGATGTTTTTGTTGACTGTTTTTTTTTGACCGTCTTTCCTTGTACAGCAAACTGACTATGCCTGTAAATTGTCCTATATTGTGTAATTATTTTCAGAATATATATGTGATTTAAAGAAGTTAGTCCCTTGATAAATGTTGACAGAACAATGAGAAGACATAGTTGATATGTAAATACGATGTACTTACCCCGTAAATTTAGCAAAATCTGATTACACATATTTACTTGTCAAGACATTTTATATGAAAATTAATCAAGGTCACTTAAATAAAAGTTCGAATAAACAAAGAGTGATATTTGTAAATAAAGGAGAGAAAATTAACTTAAAATGGAAAGAATGGGAAATTTTCCCACTTCTCTAGGCCGAAAAATGGCTTAAAGTGAATATTCAAGGCTACCACAAATCATCTCTGTACAAATAAGGGGAGTTTTAATTTGCAGATAGCTAAGGCTTCTATAAACCTAAGAATTGGTCCATCACAGTTTCTATACAACTTTTTAACAGCTGTACTGATTTCAGGTTATGTGCTTTGTTATCGATCTAAATTGCTTTCTAATTCCCACGTTTATCACAGCACTTGGTATAAACTACTTTTGAATACATTACTTCTTTCAAATCAACTCGGAATTCATTTTTTTTAATTAGAATACATATATATTAACACTTATTTCCATCACTATTTTAGCGAATAGATAATGTGTATATACAAATCAAATGTTTCACTGTAGAAAATATTTCACCTTAGATAAAAGTAAATGGTGTTACATACTTACAGGCTGTTTTTGTATTGAACTGATAGGCTTTCTTGCTGTCTGTGCGAGACTGAAAAATATACAGAAACAAAGCGGTATATATATATATATGCTTTTAGGTAAATATTGCATCACTATAATTATTTGCAAATCCTACAATTTGAATCGTTTTTATTCATTCCAGTTCTTTGGACTCAGTGCTTTCTGACATAAAATAACATTCGTACTGAGAAATTCATTATGACGATGTTATTATTAGATAGATATTTCATCCTACTCTGTGACCTCTTAGTAATAATAATCATTTTATATGGAAACAACTTTGTAAATTCCTATATTTGATAACCAACAAACTAGTCTTCATGTCACATTGGTTTCGTCTGGCTTGATATACCCTAAATAAATAAAGTAATAATAATACGAAGAAGTACCTGTCATTGGTTTTCGGTGAATATAATTTCCTATTTATATTTGGTACGTTGGTCGATGAAGTGACTGTCCTGTTTGATCTTGTAATAACATCGACTGGATTAATCATCTGACTACTTTGTTGCTGATCCCGTACAGCCTGTGAATCGAATTTATTCGATATTTGTGAAGCATTTGGTAAAGCTGTTGACAATTCAGGCAGTTTATTTGCCAATGAAGTTCCAAGCACATTTGAAGTAGGTAGTGATGCATGATCTGTGATAAAGAAACTGTCATGTGTAGCGCTGGTAAAATCGCTAGGTTGACTATTCAAAGAATAATATTTAGGGTTATTTACAAAACTATTATCTCCCATACTGCTAACATTATCACTACTATCTGTAGTTTCTATAATAGTAGATGAAGCATCAGTTGATAATGTCGATAATTTTGCATAAAATTCATTCCAACTTGATAAATTTCTGTTGTTTGATAAATTGGCAATTGGATACTTATTTCTTATTCCAGAGAGTGATATAGTAATAGATGGTGTGCGTACAGTTACTGGAAAGTTTACAGAAGGTTGTTTAGCATTTTGAGCAGCTAATTCTACACGATTCCAATATGCTTGACGTTTTTGTAAACGTTCATTGTTTCTAAAATTTAGTTAATGTTTTTTTGAAGAGAAGAAAAAAATAAAATAAAATTTTCAGTAGATTAGTAAGTAAGTAAATCAGTATTTTCATTAAATCATCAACTTTTTATACGCTTAACATATAGATAAGAAGGTATACTCCATTGAGAATGAAAACTTAAGTTTAGATTGTTGATATAAGAGTCATGCTGATCAAAATATCACTAACAATTTTACTTCAAACATTGAAGTGCAATAAGTTAATTGATTCAAACTTCGATAAGTATCTGATTTCCAGGGTATCAAAAATGATCTTTCAAATGAATATGATCTCGTCTATAAATATGAATGTCTACATATCTTGGTGGACAGACTCTAGAACTACTGGTTATGCTTAGTATTCCTTTGTAGAACGTTCATATGACTAATTCTTGTGTAAGATCGTCGCTATGATGAAGAATTCAACTAAGAAGCTTTCTGTGTTTATATCACAAATGTAATACATTAATATTGATTCCAGTACACTGGTGTGAATTTGTGATCTTAATTGAAAACTATCATTCACTTTTCATTTTATTTGAGATAATTCTAAAATGCATGATTTAAGGAGGCAGCAAGCAAGTTTCATCTTTTACTGGTAATGAAAAACCTGAGTTTTGTTTTTTTATTATTATTTCAGTTGCATGTTTCTATACTATTGAAGAGAAGATCTGTTCAAAAGAATATCAAAAGTTAAATTTAGATCTCTCTCTCTGTAGATTGCGCAATGTAGACAGAACAACTAGATTTAATGAAAACTAAATAAATCCATAATATAAAATTCAAAATCTGAAAAGTATTATTATTAAATAACGTATACACTTGCTCATGTCTTAAGAATTATTTATCTTATAGTCTATCTTAGTCGTTTTGAAACGAATAAGTCTTTTATATATGTTGTTGCTTTCTCGTGCGACCAACGGTTACCAAACTAAAATCAGAATATCAACTGACTGTGACTTTAGTATATTCATTTTATTCAGAAGCATCTCTCTGTTTGAAATTTCTTTAGAAATCATAACTATTTTTCAGTCATAGCTAAACACATTGGATACAATTCTGGATGAGGCATCTGGAACTGCCAACTGATTCAAAATGTTAGTTTATACAAAGTTACGTCATTCAAGTGAATGAAAACGCTTACAGATAAATTCATGTTCACAAAATAAAAATCGATACAATAAAATCAGATGTATAATAGTGCATTATGTATATTGATGCATTTTGAACAGAGTTGTAGCACTAACTTTTGCTGTTCTTCTATTAATTTTGAAGAGCATTGTTCAGCTAGTTTTTGATCTGTTTCAACTGCCCAGTTCAATACATTACAAATTAATCCATGAACGGTTCTGCGAACATAAGAAAAATAAATTTAGAAAAAAAATACTATTAACCAAAGCAAATAAAAATATACACTGAGAATTAAAATTAAACAAAGCATCTTTTGATTTTTTTATTAAGTTGATATTGTTACGCTCGTCTGTAGGTATGCTTAAACTATTACGAGTTCACCCTAGTCGGATAACGAGTACAAAACAATGAACCAGTGTCCAGGTAGGCTACTGTAATCCCTTGACCAAATTGAATCAGCGAGAAGTCTTGATATAGTGTAGAAATTGTATTCTACAAACGCCCAGTCAGCATAAAATGAACCCAAGCACTCAAATTGCGTTTATTTATACTCTATAGAGACGTCTTTGGGACAGTCACAAAAATAGCACACTGAAATGACACAGTAACCAATCACAGCCAAGGCTTTTCCTGGTGGGAAATGTGATCTCAAGGTCAACTGATCGGTCCATGAAATAAATCCAAAATAAAGATATTTATCTAGCGAGTTCTGGTGATCTAACATCCCCAACAGTATTCTTTAGAACTTGTGAACAACTTCAGAAAACAAACTTTATTTCAAAACTTCTGTCATAATAATAACTCTACATAGTAGTCATCTAATTTAATTAATAAAACCCTCATATCGCTAGCTTCTATGTAATTCTATGGAATTTACATCACATTACATCTCAGATAGAAATTATAGTTTTTCTGATATCAATCAATGATACTTACTTATTCCAATGATTACGTGATCGTGCCAATGAGTTAAAAACAATGGGCAATACTTTGTTTATGTTTTCTGACATTAAAGAAAGTAGATATTCATTATTCCAAAACATAAGAGCTCTTTCAGAAACCTATAAAGTAAAAGAAAATAAAATAACTAACTATACAGCTATTTTCTTTCAAATTGTACTATTGATGTAAACAATGTCTAAACTATGAATTTTATCGACAATTATTTATAAATGTAGTTTAATTGAATTTCAGCTTAAAATCAATTGCAATAAAACAGAAAAATTTCACATTATCGAATTAATACAAGCTGATATTTACAGAAAAAAACATTGAGCTTGGAAAGAAATAATATCTTTTAATAAAATGAAATCTGCACATAAACACCACATTATTCATATTAGGTTACCACCTACTTGAAAATGCAAAGATTCTATACATTTCGCTAAACGTGGGAATACTTCTGGTATGATAGCTTGAAATTCAATTGGTCCAGTACATTCAAGGCAAGCTTCTAATTCATTTAAAAATAACATTTCTTTAATTGAATTTGTTCTTGGCCAAAATCGAAGTAAACCATCATGAACAATCTGAAAAGTAGAGTTGATGTACATATATGCATAAAAATTCAATCGATATACGTTTCACATTTTGCAGCCAGTGATACAATAAACAGTCACTCATTCCTTATTGTGACACAAAATATTTGTGGAGAAAAAATGCATATAAAACCATAATTCGAAAATAATTTGATCAGTATGCTTGATTTTCAAGATATTTTTTTTTAACTAGATTGATGCATCTGAGTGTTTGTTCCCATCATTTCACAGGAACTGTCGTGCTAATAATACTAAAACACTTGCCTTTATACAATGGTTGACTATATTACTGGCCTTAAAACTAATTTTCACGCATGAAGTTAGTTCTATTTGTTATAAAACCCTCACTTTTCCTTGTCGATGAGTACAACTTTAAGTTTTTTTTTTATTTTGATTTATAAATTAGAGTGCACTACGAATGTAGTTTTGTATATAATGAGATTTGTTAATAATTATTATTATTTTAATGTCAAAACAGAAGGTAACCATGAGATGAAAGAAATATATAGATAAACAGATGAACAGTTGTAAATCCATCATCTTTCAGTGAATTCAGCATAAACACTGCAATATTGATATGCAAAACTTTCGATAACATTCTAGCCTCTTAATTATGATTATCTATCTTCCTAAATACTATTCTGCTACGTTGTTTTATTTATTATACTGATTTTATATATTTAACAAGTAATAATTTGATTCAATTTTAAATGTTTCAGTTAATCCCGTTGTTGATGTTTCTATTTAAATTTGACCAGTCTTTGTTAGCATATGGACGTCCTATGCAGACTGTCTCCATATAGTCATGATGACACAAGTTTATATAGAATGCATTTGAATCAAATCGTATAACCATTGTACAAGAGAATGGCTATCTAGACTCGGTAGCTAAGTGGATAACGCGATAGCATCTGTAGCGAATGGTACTGCGTTAGAGTCCCGGAGTGAACATCATCTGTAGGATGAGGATATAACCAACTGACGAGTACAAAATAGGACGATACGGGCATCCTAGACTCAACTACTTGGAACACCCAGTCCATTCTATGGAAAGTATGAATTTGGTTAATATATAAGTCTAAATACCTTTTGCTCAAACATTGCGTGTTTATATAAATATAATCTAAACAATATACTGAAGAGCTACTAACACTTACATTTTGTAATTCTACTTGAAAGTATGTTACCGATGGATGAACTGCGGTTTCATGTAATCAGTTGTTTGAATAAATCAAGAATTATTACTTCCCTAAAGATATTCATATAATGTGTTATTTCCTTAATAATAACTTCAATGCAACTAGATATCGTTTATTAAGATGCATTAAAAATGTCTTACTTTTTCCCCAGCATTATAAGTCATCAATGAGAATTTCACATCTTAAACAGAAAGTTATAGCTTTAAAATTTTTCACTCAAAAAATATTCGTTTTTTTATTTAGAAACATTAATAATGACTGATAGTCAGAAAGAATCGGTGAAAGTATTTGAAACTTGATTACGAACTTTTTAGGGACCAATTAAGTCCGATCCTAAAATATTAGCAATCCAGTTAATTTATGTATTTTACAAGGTCTTAGAAACAGTTTTCTCAGAATTTGTTACTGATTAATAATGTTCGACAGAGAGTTGAAGTTCAAAATCTTTTGTTAACTGGATATTTAAATGTTCATCCTCAGATATACACATTTTATAAACGTATATATTCCTCTTATCAAATCAATAATTACCAGTTCTAGATTTACAATAATTTCTTTGTTGAGTAATACATGGCATTTACAGGTTTCTAAATAGATGCATAAACGATGTATACTTGTTCTCGACCATTGCAATTTTCATAATGTAACGCTTCTTTTGCTTAGTCTGATACCAGACGTAACCTTCTGTATTTCTTATATGATTATTTAGGCACTTTCAGCCATCTCTTACATAGAAGTATATCAGAATTTAAGTCAGGACTAATTATATCCAATTATTATTTACTATTCCTGTTATTTTACAGAACACTTAATATAAGTACAAAACAATTAAATTGTTGGACGTAGTCTGAAATAAAATAAATACTTTTATACCTAAAATATGCACTGACCATTGTGAATAAACTGGAATCTTTCTTAATAAATTCAGTTGTACAATAAGTTAGTTGAGCATGAAAATGACTCATTGTTGGTGATTTGTGTAAAGGAAGCAAAACTCTGCGTAAAAATTGTTTATGTTCTTCCTTCAATGGTGTTTGAAAACCATTTATAATACTAAAACATAAAATACAAATAATTAGTGCATTTAGTTTTATAACATTTAACCATACGTGAACAGTTCTGTAATTTGAACATAGTTTTCATTTCTAAGTGAAGCCAATCGCAAAATAATAAAAAGGTTAATTAAATTTAAAAGACATAAAACAATTACAGATTAAAATGGTTCCTCATTCATACAATCTCATCACCATATCATTTGTTGAGTGAAATGTTTGATTGAGGAAATCCCTGTCAGAAAATTACAAATGAAAAAGAAATTCTTAAAGCCTCATACTTATGTGTCTAGTCGTTTAATAAGTTGAACAGAGAAACAAATTGATGATTCTAATTAAGCCGGGAACTCGAAGATCACCTAATACTCCTAATGCGCAAGAAACAAAAATTATTCAAAGTTGATGCATCCGGGTTATTCCAGTGAGACCAACTCTGTCTAGTCCTCCCTTGTGACTGGAAAAATAACTTAAGTCTTTAAGGCTATCACTATCGCCGGTGAATATTTACAAACAAGTTGAGAGAGAGAGAGAGAGAAAAGATCCTGATTTCATAATTTTCATAGTCTGTTTAACATCGCTAAAGTTCATGACCTCAAACGAAAAGCTAATATTTATTGCTTTAAGGCTGTTGACATATTATTAATGCTTTAAAATTCTTCATTTTCTCACGTGATCAAGCGTTTCGAGACGGAATGATAGAAATGCTTATCTCTTGTAGATTCAGTAGTTTTTACAGCCAGCTGAAGTGATCAGTTCCTGAGTACCGATTATTTATTCAAATAAATTTCTGAATATCATCCTTGATGAAAGAACGCTACCTTTAGTAGACATGTGAATGGATTCAAAAGCTACGGTTTATTTGATATAAATAGTAAAGAGTAGTTAAATTTTAGTGTTCATTAATGACACTGATGAAGCAATAATAAAATCTAATCGATGAGTCGCTGACCTTACGGTTGGCTGTAAAGTTTTGATGAAATATTTGTCATCACAATATATAGATTTAAAAACAGTAGAACCTATTGGAAGGTAAAGTAACTCCAGGTAGCAAAAAATAGACAAACAAAAATCTAGGAATAAAACTCTGAAAGCTCTTAACTTGAATCGCTTATGACTACGAAAGATGTCTGTCTAACAATCAAAAGAAGAGCGTACTGCACATCACTTCTCTCTGCTTTCATTCATAGCTGTAAAATTAGGTCTCTCTTTTACTTTATGGGCATTAAGAAGGAAGAATATTCGAAGATTTCTGGTATCTGAACATAAATACCTTGGCACCAGGCTGACTGATTGGTAAACTTATGAATCCTCAACTGTAAAGGTGGTTTAAGCGTATGCTCCATGTAACCGACTACCACCTACCTCGACCAGTAATATTGGCTGACGTAACAACAATTTGAGAGGAGCATGAAGGCAGCGAAATCAAAATCTAGCATCAGATCAAGATGTCACTGACCGTTGAACTAAGCCATATAGGTAGGTTCAAACTACCCCGATGCAATCAGCGCAGTCATCGTTATCAAGAATCAGAGACAAATTGGCATGATATAAAATGTTCTCAACGGTAAAAGAACATACACTCGTTGTCTTTCCTTGAATTTTTATGCTTAAAATTATCTGATACTTTTTATTTATCCAATACTTTCATTTTTCTCCAATCATTTTCTCTACACTCAATCTTTCTTAAAATCACTGATATTATCAATACTTTGGAATTCATTTTATTAGTTTTATATAACTGTGCTGATATACTGTAGAAACTTTGTTGGCTAAATGAAACAGTCAGGTCTTCTTTCGTTTATTACTGTACGACATAGAAGATCAATTGAATGAAGTAAGATCTATCATGGAGAACTGAGTAGAGGGTCTGACATGGTGCAAGCTGCTTTAAACGTAACTAATATGGAAGGTTTAATCGATAAATCTGGGATTACATATCAAACTATACTTGTTGTAATGGAATTTAAGTATTTAGTCTGAATGTTTTCTGCCTATAAAATAACACGAAACGTTTTTCACTTTCAACTGCTTACCTCCCAAGTATTTCAAGCAGTTCAGCTATTCCACAGTGAGCTTCTCCTTCATACACAAATCTAAAAGACATGAAATTAACAAGCTAATAATGATGATCCTATTTATCATGTTTGATCATGTGAAAGGTCTGTTGATTACCATATAATTCCTTATTTATATTGATTTCACTGACTGGAAAGATTTAGTTGCTCAGATATGTCAAACTATTCGAAATGCATACACTTTAAAGTCGAAAATGTTTCATAGGCTGGTTGAGGACTTAAAAGTATATATAGGAGTATTCTGATTCAGAAGCAAATTCTACTTAACTCTAGATGGGTTTGACCGTTTGCAAGTATCATGTTCTAACGGCTTTCTGTAATGTCGATGGTTGTCGAAAATTAGTGTATTCTGTTTAAAATACAGCTCAAGTGTTCCAGAGTTTCTCATATGGTTATAGTATTTTCCGAACTTTCTAAATCTAAATGATTTAACTATGCTGCACCAATTTACCACTTTTTCTGAAATAAAATTACTTTCATCTTTTAACCTGAAGTTTAAGTTTGTGATTATAATTAAACATAGTTTAATATATTAGTAGTCCAGTGTTATCTAGAGTTGACCAAACTAGCATAAATGACTAAAATCCTTGGAAAATAACCTAATTTTTTATTGAAGATTGATGTTATTTTTATATTCCTTCGTTTAGTAAAAATTACAGTTGCTTTTAACCTTTATTTAATCATTTTTGACGAGAAACTTTAAGTCTTATCGATTCACCTGCTAATATGTTGCTGTTATGATAACAATGTGGCACTATGTACGTTGTGATTTTTCTGTTTTAGTAGTTGGTTCCCTGTTTTAGAATTAATTAAATTCTCTTATATTACCTAATAGAACCTGACAGTAATTAGAAATATATTCGTCGGCATCTAGCTATCTATAAAGATTACATTTTATTTGTTAGTGTGAAATTATATTGCTTAATTCGCTTACAGTTTACAATAGATTGTCTTTTGCGTTAGTGCTCCAAAATTTGATGAGGACGTTTAATTTTATGTCACTTCAATCTACTATATTTTTTCTAGAGCCTAATAAAGTTTCTTACCTCATATAATGCAACACAATTATCACTTTTCATGACTGTTTAAGTGTAACAATTTTAACCCACAATTTCACAGATACCTGACAAGAATAATGATCTAAGGTGGCAGTAAACCTGTAACCTTCGGTTACGTTTTTTAAAAGACGTTTGGTAGTAATCGATCGAACTTTAATGGTTCTCATAGTTAGTTGGAAGCAGACTGTGAACTGCTTGCGTGTTCAAATAACTTACCGAAGAAATATATAGTTAATCATCCGTCGGATAAACGGTCTCAAAGTAACAAGTTTACCATATACACGATGTAGTATCATTTTGATTAATTCTCTTTCACGTGGATCTTCAGATTTAAATAATTCCATAAGATTTTTTAAAAATTGCTGGTCCAAATATTTTTTCCCCAATGAAGCTTGAAAATCAGGTGAGCTAATGAAGCGTAGAAATATGTCATAGACTAACTAGAAATGAGAAAGGACATAGAGAGGGGTGCAATGTACAAAACTTTCTAACTAAACTAAACATTTAGAATCTAATGATAGCAAAACAAATTAGCATTTTCAAGTATGATTGAAGCGAATTCATAAACTTCTTGTAAACAACTTATTTTAGTACGGATTTGTGTTTAAAAGTGATCTATCTCGTATAGTTTCATGCTGTATATCAATATCTTTAGCCTACACTTAGATAAAGGTGATATCATTTTTGAGTAGGTTGAATGGAGTTATAGGAATCATGATCAGCATAAATAATGTAACTGCAAATCAGATCAAATGCTTGGTGGTGAACTGCATGATATATAAAATATTATGAATCAAGTACAAAACAGTAGATTGGAGTGAGTTCTAACTTAACACAAGTATACTAATAATAATACTGAGGATAAATGAAAATATATAAATGAGAATAGTAACAATAACAATAATGTTTAAACAAGGTAAATGTAATTAATGCATATTAATGAGAAAGGCTGTATGTATAATGAAAATGTGAGTTTTTGAGTATTTAGAACTAACAAACTTATGTACCATCTCAATATTTAAAGATTGATTGTTCAGTAAAGTAGAGAATTCCAACCTATTCTTACTAAGCAGATGAATAATAAGCTATTTATGTAAGAGTTTGTGTTATTAACTATGCATGATTTGATTCAATGAGGTAATATAACCATGCAAAGATAATAATAGCCTAAATGTATTTATTTTCAGCTGAATATCTTACATGAATTTTATCTCCTTTTATGAGGCTATATGTGGGAATATGAATTATGCTGTTGTCAGTCTTGATCGCTACTATGACTAGTATCATCTTAACTAATTTTTATGCATAAACATTTATTTAATTCACGGGGTTCATCTTATTAATGTATCCTAGTTCAATAATATTTAAAAATAAAATGTGATGAAGGTGTAACACGTAATCATTATTTTATACAATAAGTATGTAAACATATTTTATGTGATATTTACGTTATTGGTCAAATAGATTTGAAAAAGAATCTGAATATAACTATATCCACCTAACAAATTAATTATTTTATCCAAAGCATGGAAGTATTTTGGCTGTAAACAAAGTTTTTATCATATGCTTTAAACGTACACTAATCTAGCATTTGAGTGGTTCTGTTTGTCTTTTCATCGTGACTTGTGATAAAATATCACATGTGAATCAAATCTTTCAAGATTACTTATTATAAAAATCAGAAGTGAGCATTAACATACTGCAAAGTTTACAAACCTAATGGTACTATTTTTTTTTTTGGGAAAGCCCCTGCTACAAAAAAAAATTTTGTTTTCTTCAGTTTAATAAATACAGATTTTTAGATTATTTGTGGTAATGGAATTTGTAATAATGTTTAGGTTTAGATCATCGTTATCACATTATATCCAAGTTAAATATTGATATCTCATTTAGTCATTAAGTAGCATTTTCAATGAATATTATTCAAATAGCGTTGTTATATTAGCTATATAGAAGACAATTAAGGTGGGTCAGATTCTTAAGTCATTTTCTACTTGAAGGTTTGTTCCAGTAAGACTCTCATTCATAACTTTCTCTCTTATAAATTCCACAGAAAACTTACTGTATGAATTTCAACTTTCAATAAAGTATCTTTTTGATTCCTAACACTGCGTACAGACTTTAGTGTTGATGTTATCTCAAATCATTAAAAACGTTTTCGCTCATCGTTTTTTCTTTACAAGCAGTCTCCTTTCGTTAATTATGCGGATCATTTTATTCCATGTTAATTACATAGATTATTTCAAATTTAGTGCCAAGAAAAACAGATGTTAACTGACCTAGAGTGTACTCAATGAAAATTTGTATAAATGTTAAACTTAATCTTAACTTTAGTTCAAAAAATATGTATACAGTGAAGGAATCACATGACTGCTTTAGCAATAAAAAAAATTCTGTGACCAGTGAAGTTCAAACCTGTTCGGATGTATACAGTGTATGAGGTTGCGCAACTCCGTGAATTTGACCAAGTTAGACATTAACACCGTTAGATACCGGCACAGTGGTCTAACGGTTAGGGCGTTCGCGCACAATACCGAAGGTCCTGGGTTCGGATCGTGCGGGGTGCAGGAGTCGTGGATGCGCACTGCTGATGAGTCCCATACTAGGACGAAACGGCCGTCCAGTGCTTCCAGGTTTCTAATGGTGGTCTAACAGTGATTGATTCATGGTTACAAATAAAACTTAACAATTTTCACAACAACCCCCCAATGCAGTTAGAAGTGCATTATTCCAGTATTCTGCCCTCATTATAATGTAAAATAACATTAATTTACCTGAAGATGCGGCCAGGATGGTTCCAAATTTGACACTTGTTCATCGTCATTATCAGTATAGTCTGACATTTCTGTAGTTGTATAAAATGTTGAAATTGTTCGAAAAGCATTAACTTTAACTAAGTTTATAATACCGACATAAACTGGTTCAGTGAGAGAATTAGAATTTATTGAAATAAACTCAGCTAATTCTAACAATGTTAATCTTTTAATTTCTTTCGATTTTAAATGAGCCGTATTATCACTGAAATCAAACAAAGTCGAACACATTCGTAATTTATTCAATAGTAATGTTTCACGTTCACCAGCTGGTGTCTCTAAATGTAATAAAAAAAGTTCGAAAAAAGAAAATGTAAAATATAAATTTCTTTGAATACACCGTGAAAAGAAAACTGTAATACATGATATTTTATCAATATTGTTTTAATAATGCAAGTCATTCTTATAAAATTTAAATTCCGAAGAGAAACGTTTAAGTGTTAAATGCAACTTCAGCCCCAGAAAATCACTGATAAATGACTTGAATTCAGCTTAGTAAAAATGTTGTTTTGGATTCCACTATGGCATAAATCTATGATATTTTCTCAAAAGTAACAAAAAATTGCATTAATCCTGATGTAAATAATCTTCTAATACAGTTCTAATGATTTTGTGTATTCAGAGATGAATCATCGAAAATAACAAGCACATAATCCTAATTGCTTTCAAAGTGGTAAACAACAAGTTAATTTGCCAATCAACTACTTTAGAGGTGCTCTTAGAAAGTTAATGAAATAATGGTTAAAAGGTATAAAAAAAATGATCCTACTTAATAGCTTGAAACAAAGATAAAATGGATATATTTATTACAATAGTATTTCCATGGATATGAGAAGTTGCAACCATTTCTTCACAAGTTTTAATGGATTTCAACATAATTCTATACATGTGACCATATAGAAATCTACTTAGATCTAGACAATCTGTAAAGGTTATTCAGCTCATTGTTATTCGTTTTCAGTTTAGTTAATAAGCAGATGAAGTGTCAAAATATCAGCAGATAGTGTATGCAAATTTAAAAACACTTACCAACTAGTAAGGGTAATGCTTTCAGTTCATCATGTGATACATTTATGAATCGAGATGATAATTGTCTTGGTGGCTGTGAAGCCGTAGCTATCCGATCGATATCTTGCCGTTTCACATCATTCTGTCTAAATTTTCTTCCAAGTGAAACTGGTGACAGACTGGATACCGCCCTTGAAAACTCAGGCACTGGACTTGGTGCGTGTGGAAAACTTGTTACTAAGTCATCACGGTAGTTCTCACCCTAAAATAAAATAAAAACACTAGTTTCAAATTGATTAAATAATTTGAGCCTTACTAATAATCTTCAGTGATTTTCTTAATTTTTGGATTGCCCATATGAACAACAGAATTTCAAAACAAAAGATATTACTGGATAACACTCGTTAAACAAAACCCACTCTTCCTGCATTTCGTTCCACTTAATAAAGGAATACCAGGTTATCACATTGACTGTTTAAGTCAAAATCCACTGACTTCGAACATAACACTGACAAAATATTGATACGTGGTGTTGAAGATAGGAGTAGATAAATGATGACGAACGATTCATCACGGTTGATATCATTTTTTATTCATATGTTTTAGGCTATGAACTGTGTCGAAACGATTAGTGTTTACAATCCATAAAAGGCAGCTGTCAAAATCACGATTAACTGTAAATTCAGATGATAATCAATGAAGAAAATTGAGATATTGTGGACAGTTCTAACAATTTTTTTAAATACATGAATCGATGCTTATTTTCACCGTAGATTAACACCTGACTTATTCAAACACATTGATATTTATTCAAATCGATGGATTACATGACTGTATTTTAATGTGTTAAGGTAGTTAATGTCAGTTTTAATCGTAAGTTTTTAACTAATTCATTTCCAATTTGTAGATTGAGTCAAATTATCAGTCGTTTTCAACTTAGACACTAACAATTAAAATTTTGTTTGTAAACTTCATCTTGTTATCAAGTGAGCCATCTAGTGTTCTATATCATATTCAGATATCTTTCTTTAAATTTATGTTTTGTGTTTAGAATATTTTGGATTTTCTTGTCAATATAAAGCACTCCAAAATCGGTGCATAAAGAAAAGTAGTTGAATAATATTACCGAATGCAGTTCCAAATAAATAAAATAAGTTTATTATATTTCATAATTTTCATCGAATATCAATAGATAAATAAGATGGAGAACCAATTTTGGATTGAAAAACAAATTTCAGTGGTTAGAATTTGACAGTTAACTAGTAACACGAGTAAGACTTCTTATTTCTGGGCTACATCAGTTGGTCAGCTACAACTTGAACTTCGTACGTTCGTACGTCAGTTCAGGTTGCCATACCACAGCACACAGATATAAAAATGTCAATTCAAATCCCAAATTGGCAGAGATAGTAGCAGTACTAGTGGTAATGGAGAAGATTAGGGTTCTCTGAGCTCAGAAAACCAAACACCACCACAATACCTAACATGTGTCTCAGCTACCTCAACTGATGAAGTTTCAATACTTTATTTATTAAGCTGCTATTCTTACCTAGTACTCGTTTCTTAACAATAGCATTGCTAATTCAGTTTTCCCAGGATATACGAGCGATGCGTTGAAGACACCAATGATCGAATACTAACATCCTACGAATATCTTCTACTCTAATTGGCCATGTTTCACATCCATATAGTAGTATGAAACGAACTGCTGCATAGTAGAGTCGTCCTTTGTTTAGCAAACGGATATCTCGCCTACGCCATAAATGACGCAAGTTGGGAAATGCCAGTCAGGCGTTCTGTATCCGTGCTGAAATTTCGTCAGTCACCAAGTCATCAGAACTGATGAGACTCCTAAGGTAAGTGAAGCGGTCGACACTCTCAACTACTTCACCCCCTATCATTAGTTCAGGTGTCCATCGAGCATTTTTCTGTACGGAAGACGCTACTGAAATCCAGTGTTTCTCTCCAATCTTTAGGTTTACCTTACTAGCAGATATCACTTCTGTTTCTAAAGAATTTCGGATATTATTCCTAGCTGCCTCAGGATGGGCATCACTTACATGGCTGCCAAACTGTTTTTCTAGTTGCTTTCGAAATGCACCCAGCCTTGTTAATTAGGACTCCAATAGGTTTCGCTTGCTATCTTTTCTACGTCCACTAAACCGGAGACAAAAGCGAGCTCGTACTAGCATGATCTAAATGTAAACATGTACTCCAGAACGAGTGGTAGTCTTCTACTAAGCCTACTTCAATGGCTGATGGCAAAGTAGTCTGTCTGGAACCAGCACTGAGTCGATTTTGGGGGTTGCTATAACAAAAGATGTTGTCTCTCATGCTGAAATTCGATATTTCCTTGAAATAAGTGGTTATTCGTGTATATCTGCAACAGCTGGTTGCCATTATCTGTTTTTTGAGCCGCGACAAAATAAGATCTGACCAATAGTCTTTCCGTTTCTCTTAGTCTACCTGCTTGAACAATAAAGACACCAGCAACTATCACTACATCTGATTGTACAACTTTTCGAAGAAGTTTGGTAAGCTTTCGGTAAAATTCATTTGTTAACTCACCCGAGCTGAATTTAGTAGGAGCGTGGGCGAGGCGACAAAAAGGTAACGGGAAATATCCCCATCATTCCGAGCCCTTAATGTTCCATTTAGTCTGACAGCGAGCAAGGGATTATCCTCTGGGATCTAGTCTGAGAGAGATAGTTCTGCCCTGGGACACATTACTGTCCTTACATTAGTGAGGCCATAGGAAGAAGCAGTGGGGCCTCCAGATACAGGATGAGTTGATCGAGAGAGCTCTTCATCTTGACAAAGCGTGGTTAAATAAATGACTGCGCTTGCATCCCGCATGTGCTTTTCGGAGACGCAGAATACATCAATGAGACGGGATTCTGGAGTCTTTGTTCAGTAATCCTGTTCTCCTATCGGCACAATGTCCGTAAATAAAATGTTCCAACGTGTATTTTAGGGTGGGGTTTCAGGGGACCAGGAATTGTTTTTGTGTTTACAAATCGTTTGCATCGGCGGCGCCAGGCGATAAAAGGATGAAAGAAGAGTTGCCCGTTGAGATAAGAGAGTTATTATAAAATGTGGAAAGGATTTAGTTATGACCGATTGGATCTTGTGCCGTTACGAGTAAAAGGGCGGATTCCACTTCCTTGCTACCCACGCCGTGGAAGGGTATTTCTTTGGAAATCTGAAAAAGAACTAATACTGGCATCGATCTTAACAATGCGGGAGTGTGACCGCAGAGCCCAACCATCAACGGTTTGAGGCTTTTCATTCACGGTGTTTTTATGGAAAGTTTGTAAAGTTTCAGCTCCACTCTTCAAGTTGCATTACCACCGGAGACGGAAACCCGTGGGGTAAGGTGGGGTGGGATATTTTTAAGTTCGGCCTTTTCTATCCCCTTCCTCCCGTTTTCAGAGGGCGACATCGCTGTAGATGCTGGCTATTTGAGGGAAACATCTTGCTGCTGTCACCTCCCTCTACAGTCAGCAGTACGACTTTGCCCTCCGACCTTAGAGTCTTACCGTGGAATAATAAGACCTAAAGGAAAATATATTCCAGCTAATATATCTAGATTGGATCACCATGACAGGCATGCCCGACCACCACATCAGGGTAGCATCTACGGTTGGGCTGATCTACATACCAGATAATCATCACCGATATCCAAAGTATTAAGCTTTGAATTTATCGAGAACTGGTTACATTTTTTTCTATTGAGAACGGTGTCACTATATATTTAGATACAACAACCAATGCATGAGTATGATGAGAACTCATTAGGTTTATTCGCGCAAATTTTCCTACGTAGCTCAAATTTAAACATAAAAATTAAATAAAAAGTAAATGTATACCTTACCAACCAAGTTACACGAGGCTCACATCTGATTCAGTATCACTGTAGGTTCTACTACTATTTTGAAAACATCTATAATATGAGTGAAGTCAAGATAAGTAATCCAAATGTTTCAGAGGTACTAATAACCGATAAACCAAGAAAGCTTTCTACTTTGACAAGGTCACCAAAATATGTAGTGGAAAAATTATATAAAACACTACCGAAGACATAACATCGTAAGACTTTCTCAGATTTAGTGGGACAAATACTATTTCAGCTATATAACTTGAGCTTATGATATTTAAGACTACCAAAGAGAGTGAATTTTTCTCGCGATCATACCTAGTTAGGTAAGGAAAATCAGTCCATCAAAGTAAATAACTTATTTAGGTTTGTTTTAGTCACACGAACTTGGTACCGAAAGCAATGTCATATTTCAGTAAATATCTTTATCTCGAACACTTCAATGATGAAAAGAACTAGTTAGATGAATTTTTACTTCATTATTCGGTAAAACATAGACTTAGTTGAAAGAAAATAGATCGAAATATCCAACAAAACTTTTGCTCAAGAACAAATAGAGAATCAACTAAAATTCCTGACCATCAGATAGTAGGCATGAACAAACGCTAATACTTCTTTTAGGTTTGTTTTGCATCCGGACAACAGTAAAAACTGACCTAATCAACTCTCAAGGCAAGACTGTGAATGTTCATTGCATTGGACGAACTTAAAGTAAACAGGATTATAAATAAAAAATGACAGACAGTATTTTTATGCCTTATTAAGATCAAATCGAAAAATAATAACTAAGAACGCATTACTTTGAGATTTAACGAAAAAAATACCCATCTGTGGGCAAAGTTTCAGTTAATTTTTTATCTAAAAGTGATATTTTCAGCCTTCTCAAGCAAATATCTATCAAAAAGCTTACGTAAGCACAAGAAAAAAGCACTTTAATGTTTATTGGTTGATTGCTTTACAAAGAATACAATCATAATCAAAGATGTCACCTGATCAATCAAAATATTTTACAGGTCGTGTTTGCATTTCAGTATTTAAGGGCAAAATGGCATTATTGAATGTCTGTACAACAGTATGATAATTTGAATAGTTTGATATTTGGAGATAAACATGGATTATAAGCTCAGGATCATTCAATATATTCTTAGTAAGATATATACGACGAAGTAACAGAATAGCAATGTAGAGGATAAGGAAGCGATTTGGATGTCACATTACACCTTTCTTTGGCCCTTTAAGCAAATAAAAAGATAGATAAATGCTATTTCACTGTGCAAAAATGTTAACAGGTTTTATTTGTTAGGAAGTCAATAAAACTCGATCAGTCAAGACGATATATGAAATACCATATTATGAGTCGATAAATTTCACCTTTTTGGGGTCTTGTTTCGGTTTAAGGTAGTTTTTCTCGCTTCTTCTCATCTTAGCATAATCCAAAACAACGCGTTAACCGTTCACCCTAGCAAAGGTCGTTTCCAACATCCAATATCTTTTTCACGAACTAGTATAAACTAATTGCCTTCTTATGCTTGATTATCGTTCTTACAGTACCGTTACTGGTGTCGGTAGTGTCCAGTGGATGAGAGTCTAGTCGCTCTACTGAACTAATTCTAGTTGGTTGCCGGTTGTTTATGAGTTTGTATGTCCAGTGATTTAAATGAGTACATTTGTTTCAGCAAAGCAGGGCTCCATGATACCAGCAGCTATCACGTTAGCAGTCTGAAGATCATTTAATTGCAATATTGAGATTAATAATTAGAAAATTCTTATGCTAATAAGATTTCAGAACTAAGTAAATAAATGTATGATTTAGTTTATTAATTGATAGTGAAGATTGTGCCAGGGAGAACAAACAGAGGTACTAAGTGAGTTGAATTAAGTTAATCTTCTGAAGAGATGGCAACTATGACAACTAGCATGTTTCAAGACATGCATCGGACACAGCTAGATGATAATTCATATCGAGGCTTTCAATGGTTATTAAACCTACATCGCTCTTTGAAGAGAGGTTAGGTGGCGAACTTCGATCGAGGGAGTAAGTCGTTTGCATCACGTGCGGCAGAATGCATATAACATGGCCTTTCGACTGGTTTAGTTTCACTGCTCATTCCTCAATGGATGTAAGGTTTTTTTATGCTCATTTGAATCCTTTTCGCTTGTATTGAGCCTCCAGATCTTTACATCGTCTGAGTAGTAGTAGTAGTTTAATAGATCGCTAATGAATATCAGGAAGCGAAGCTGACCTAGGTTAGTCCCTTGTCAAAATATCTATGTTGAGATTCGCCAACTCGCCAGCACTCTATTTACCTTGGTGCGAAACTTTCTATTCTCGAGACAGTTTATGAGCCAAGATACGACTGTGTCAGTGAAGCATATTTCCGCAACCTCCACAATTAGGAGTACGTGGATTGCTGTATCAAAGGCTTTTCCAAAGTCAAAAATGTTACGTGCACCGGTATTTTTCGGTCCCAGAAGGATGTTCAACTCTCACATGCTATGAGAAGATTGGATGCGCATTACCTGCCTTCCCGAAACCCGTGTTCAGATTCATGGGTGGATTTTGTGTGTATCTATGTGCTCCCTTTCTTCTGTTTGTTCACCAGCCCTTCCATTAACCTCGATGGGACTGGAAGTAATGCGACTGGTGTGTAACAGAATGGGTCACTCCTATCTCATCCTTTGAAGATTGGAGAGAGAGTAGCTTGTTTCAATTCAGCTGGGAATCGATTTGAGATCAGTGAATGCCTGAACAGGTCACATATCGGGGAACTAACAGGCTCTGCATACCGTTTCAAGAAAATGGGGCCGATAATGTCCATCCTGGTGACTTTCTGGGACACAAGGATCTTAGTTTTCTTAGTAATAAATCAGAAGTAAGCCAGATATTCCCTAGGCCGTTAGTTGGCACTAGGTTTGAGTGGTACTCTGAACGTGTGAATACCTAATATAACTGATCAGTGGAGTTGCTGTTGAAGATCTCAGCGATCTGTAGGTTGGTAAGATCTTCGCCATTAGAACCCTTGAGGCAACACGCAACCTGAGTCGTATGTTATCCCTTTGTCGCGAACCTAGACCAATGCTTAGGGTTCGGCTGTATTGCGCTTCAACGTAACTAGTGCAACGTTTGCTCGAAACGCATTTTGGCAACACAGCATACAACTGTAGATCTTAGGACACCAAGACTACTAGACATTTTTCAACTTGAGACGATTATAGATGATAGTTCCCGAGTTTGTATTCATATTATTCAGCATGTGCCATATAGACCATTTCGTAATTAGAAGTGTTAAATTTAATTGCGATATCACTCATCCGATTCAGAATTAAAGCCTTCTTTAGTATAGCAGTGCGAAATATGCCCTGGCCAGGTGTAATATGCTTGTTTAGAGTAAGCATTTTTTAATAAACAAGATTGGTACTTAAGTTCTTCAAGATTCCTTGTAGGTTGCAAGATGACGTTGTAATTAATATAGGTCCCATACCCCGATCAAAATGTTTGAAGACAATGTTTTACCAGAAGCTTTCCAGCATTACTGTCGTTGTTGATCAGTCCATTGAGACCTGACAGCCCTGGCTTTTCGAAGAACTGGTGCGTAATGAAGTAAACATTTCGGGCTGAAGATAAACTCATCGGTCAGCTTGACTTGATGTTAAGGCCCATTATTCTTTAACATCTTTTTAAGTTGGTTCTTTGTTAGTTTAAACTGACTGTACATATTATCGTCACTATGTCCTTTGTATTCCATATAATAGCACCCTTTTTAAGTTTTAACACTGAAATAGAGTGACTATGGATCTATTCGTTACTGGCAAGATAATGGTAATTCCTCCATCACTGTAAGCTAATAAGCTTGGTGTGATATTCCTCACTGTTCCATTCGCTAAGTTTCCAGCTTCATTGAATATTATGCCATTTAAAATGACTTAAATTGTTTCTTTTCTCTTCTTTCGTACTGATTATGTTTGTTCTTGCGAGCTGGATTAAAATATTCATCATTTTACATCAAGAATGAATGCGACGAATTAATAGTGTTGTAGATTCCCGAATTTTAGGTAAAATGAGCGAATTTACAGTCTCAAATGTTGCTTCGTTACCTACAACTGTCACCCCTCACAGAGCATAGGCAGCCGACCAATATTCTCTTCGACCAAATCTTTGTGAAAAGGCTAAATTAGTTTTATTTGAATTTCCGTGTTTATTCTAAATCAAGCCGCCTGCCCTCTGAGTCGTTGGCCTCTCACCATTATCCAGAAATAACTCACTTTTCTCCACCAGATTGGCAAAACAAACAGTCCGGAAGAAAAATACTCCGTTTTCCTTCATTAGTAGACAGTCAAAGCGGTAAATCAGGTAACCATAATAATATCACAATGAAACCACCGTATTGTATGTCCAGCTGTCCTAATCAAATATTCTATTCCTAATTGTTATAATGGCAACGTACCCACATCCATGCACTTGCACACACAAAACCTGCGGATCCATGAAAAATTGTTTACTAGAAAGACCACTTACTTTTACTTACTCCTGTTACGCCTAATCAAGCAAAGGCACCGACCAGTTTTCTCCAACCAACTCTGTCCTAGGCTTCCCTCTCTAGTTCTGTCCAATGTTTGTTCATTCCTCTCATATCTTTGTCTATTTCTCGGCGTAATAATTTCCTTGGCCTTCCTCTTTTCCCTTTATCTTGAGGTTTCCATGTGAGAACTTGTCTTGTGACGCAGTTGAGTGCTTTTCGCAGTGTGTCATATCCACTTCCACCGCTTCTTCCTGATTTCCTCCTCCACTGGAACCTGGTTTGCTCTCTCCCGCAGTACGTTGTTGCTGATGGTGTCTGGCTAAAGAATCTTAAGTATTTTGTGCATACAACTTTTAACAAATGCTTGTATCTTCTGGATGATGGCTTTCGTACTTCTCCAACTTTCCGCCCCAAACTGTAGAACTGTCTTGACATTTTTATTGAAAATCATGACTTTGGTGTTGATCGATATTTGTTTGCAGTCCCAGATAATTTTCAGTCGTAGAAATGCAGCCCTTACTTTGCCGATCCGCGCCCCCACATCTGCATCGGATCCAACTTGGTTGTCGATGATGCTGTCAAGAATTGTAAAGGTGTTAACGTCCTTCAAAGAATCTTCATCAAGAGTGATTTGGTTGGCGCATGTTGTGCTTTATTGTATAATTTTGCTTTTACCTTTACGTATTTTGAGACCTGCTCTGGTGGAAGGCTGCTGCTACACTGGTCGTCTTTTCCTGCATTTGTTGTTGCGTGTGTGATATAAAAGCCAGGTCATCTGTGAAGTCTACATGGTACAGCTGCGTCCTGGTTGTCCATCGAATACCGTGCTTCCCTCCAGATATTGACGTCTTCACAATCCATAACCTTGCCTGAAACATATCTTCACCTCAGAGGAGTTAGTCAGCTGTTCTTCTTGCATGATTTTGCAGTTGATTCCATCATAAGAATTCCGTATAATGTTAACTATCTTTTCAGGCAAGACGTAGTGTCAATATAGTCTCCATAGTTCTGTCCTGTCCAAGCTATCGAATGCTTTCTCGTAGTCGATGAAGTTGATAAAGAGTGGTGAGTTTAATTCAATTGATTGTTCCACATTGATCCGTGATGTTGAAATTTGGTCGGTACACGATCGATCCTTACGAAATCCAGCCTGTTCGTCTGAAAGTTTGGCGTCTACGAAGTCCTTCATTCTGTTTAACAATACCCTGTTGAAAACTTTGCCTGGTATTGAGAGAAGAGTGATGCCTCTGTAGTTCTCACACTTGCTGAGATCGCCTTTCTTTGGTATTTTGACCAGGTATCCTTCTTCTTAGTCCTTTGATACTTGTTCTTCATCCCAAATCTTGTTGAAGAGAATGAGAAGTACTTTTGTAGTTGCTTCCACGTGTGCTTTCATTGACTCACCTTGAATGTCGTTTGGTCCTGCTGCTTTGCAGCTCTTGATTTTTCTGATGGCCAAGCTCGTCTCTTCAGTTGTAGGTGAATGGGTGAGTTCATTGGGGCAGGCCAATTCAAGAGTTCCTTGAAGTGCTCTACCCACGTGTTTCACAGTTCTTCAATGTTGTTGATTACTTTGCCTTTCTTGCGTTTCGCTGTCCGTTCTAGTTTACGATAGTTGAATCATACGAGTGTCTCAAGTTTCCCTTTATTGTAGCCTTTTCCGCCGTCGTCGCTAGATCCTCCACATATTTTCTTTTGTCAGCTCTGATGCTCTTCTTCACTTCCCTATTTGCTTCTGTGTATGCAGCTTGTGCCTTAACTTTCTCTGCTCTTGTTCGGCTGACATTGATTGCTGCTTTCTTGTTCTTCCTTTCTTCAAATTTCGGAAGAGTACCAACAGAGATCCGTTCCTTCTGATGGTGCTTCTTGTGACCCAGAACTTCCTGACATGTTGAAGTTATTGCCTCTTTGATCGCTTTCTAATTGTTCTCCAAGATTTTCTTGACTTCATTGACTAGATCGTGCAAGGACTGGAACCTATTAGTGAGGGCTATCTTGAATTCGTTGAGTTTTACGGTATCCCGAAGAAAGGCCGTATTAAAATCCTGTGATGTTGTCTGTCCCGTTGTCCAGCGCTTCTTTAGTTTCAGTCTCATTTTAAGGTAGGAAGAAAAAAATCGTTGCCCTCTTGTTCCTCGTTTCTTCAATTTTTGCAAGAGTACCAACAGAGATCCATTCCTTGTGATGATGCTTCTCGTGACTCACAACCTCCTGATATGTTGAAGTGACTTCCTCCTTGATCCCTTCCCAATAGTTTTCTATTGCTGTTTCCTCTCAGTTGAGCAGATCCTGCAAGGACTGAAACTTATTGCTGAGGGCTATCTTGAATTCTTTGAGCTTTCCAGTATTCCGAAGAAAGACCGTATTAAACTCTAGTGATGTTGTCTGCCCCGTTGTCCAGTGTTTCTTGAGTCTCAGTCACATTTTAGTGACTAGCAAGTGGTGATCCGAGGCGACATCAGCTCCTCTCTTGGTTCTCACATCCTCCATGGTCCTTCTGAACTTTTTATTGATACAGATACGATCGATATGGTTCTGAGTAGTGTGATCCGGTGAAATCCATGTAGCTTTGTGTATGCGCTTGTGTGGGACTATTGTGCCACCAATGACCAGTTTGTTGAAGTCACATAGGTTTGCAAATTTCTCATCCTTTTCGTTCCTTTCTCCTAGTCCTTGTGGTCCCATGATGTCTTCATACGTTTGGTGAGCATTTCTGGACGATTGACTGCAGCCTTTCATAGAATTGATCTTTGTCGTCGTCATTGTAGTCATTGGTAGGTGCATAGCATTGGATGACGTTCATTGTAATTTCCTCTTTCTTTGTTTTGAAGGATGATTTTGTCATTATTGGTCCACGAGATTCTAATCCTATCAGTGCCTTTTGTGCTTGTTTGGATGAGACCAGTGCAACTCCTGGCAAGTGTGAGGCATTTTCTTCTTCATGGCCTGAGTATAAATGCAGTTCCCATAAAGCTAGTCTCAGTTGTCCTACATGTGTCCAATGCGTTTCACTGATTCGAAGCACCTCGAGGTTATATATTTTCATTTCTGCCGCAACTTGAAATAGTCTTCCAGTCTCCCACACTGTTCAAAAGTTTCATGTTCCCAAAAGAATGGCTGCTCTGGTTGTCAGACGGGGCATCAGCCCCGTGACTTCCGAGGGAACTGGGCTTTCATTACGAGACGTCAAAATTCTTCTTGCAACTCCCAGGGCAGAGTTAAAATGGTTTGATTTATTTTTTCTGGTTAGCGATTTTTTGGCAAGTTAGTTTTTTGGTGGGATGGGGTCGTTAACCTCACCCTCAAGCCTCCTCCTTCATCCGGGCTTGGAACCGACAGTAGTCCCAAAGTGTCTACAGGCGGAGTTACTTGAATGATCAGATACGAAGTTTTTCGGTTCTGTTCTTGCGTACTATTTATTCACTGGGTGTTGATGTTGCTTACTTTCCTCCCTCAAAGCATATCTTGTGTCTCGCCCCCCCTCATCTATCAGTCTACTCTTTAGCCAGTTGATCCAGTTGAGTTACTGACCAGCAAACATTGATGGTGTGGGCGATGACTTCAAACAACCCATGTTTATGGGGCAGAACATTTTATTTGCTTTTGGCTCTTTAGATTGATAAGGAGAGTAATCGGTAACACTGAGGTTGCTCTTATACGCTTGCTACTTCTATGGTTCATGTTTCCAAAACTATGCTGAGGTCGCTATTCTGTCGAGACACCCGCAACATTCTTACTCAGGCGCTTACAGTATGACTTACAGGTTGGCATTCAATAATTATTATAAAAATACAGTTAGACAGTGAGAAATTTTAATCATCAATGTTTTCTTTTTACAAACTCTACTCTTCCGATTTCAACGTACATAAATCCAGCTTCTTACTTCGACTTCTCTTCTATACACCTGACACTGCACAATTCTTCCTTCTTCTTGCTGAACTTTTTTATCTGAGGGTTATATTCTTATATTCCCATAATTTACTTTAATTTAAGTGGTCAGTATGAATTTTATCTTGACTTACTACTGTATTGACTACTTCAACATGACAGGTTAAGTAGTGCTTTGGTTATATACATACACTTGCCACACTGCTGACTTTTTCTCTCTCTCTTTCCTCCTTTTCAGAACCCCATTCACGGTGGGAAATCCTTGGCGACTCTAGAGAACATGCACCATATGTACATGACTGTCTGGATCACAGCTCGTATCAAGCGCGTTCCATTTGACCTTTCCCAACAAATTCACTATTGATCTCGGCAAACCGCCAAAAGAACTTATTGTATACCTTCCTTATTTGTACTCCACTATTGAAAATGTGGCTGTATTATACTGTTTCTGTCAGCGACATGGTGTAAATACGCTATCGGAAACTGACTCTTATACTTAACCTAAGTGCTATAACTTTTACAGTAATCGTGAAAGCATTTGTGACAATTGGATCTAGCCTGTAAACTGGAGTGACTCTTGTAACGTAGTGATGTGAGAATAAATATTTTATTATTAATAACATGCACCAGTGATAGCATTGCCATTAGTTCTTAAACTATAAACACCAGGAGAAATAGTAGAAATATGAAATCCCTGCTCCTAACAACTGAATTGTGAAAAGCACAAAATATCACTCGTTAATTAACCGTGAAGCCTATTGTTCAGAAAAAACATAACATTATAATTTTAACGCCTGTTAATTTCTAGCTAAACTAGGAGAATCTACATTTGATTCCTTATCTCTTCCGGGACTGAATAAGACAACCGATGTTTAAACATTTTAAAAAATTTCTTTTGTTATTATTAGCATTATTTTCACATCCTGCATTTGTTTACAATTTTCTGTTTCTTCCCGTTTATATTCTTCACCATGTAATTATGTAATGGTACTAATGTTTTGTGATGTTTATTTTAAGTCTAGTTATTAACGTTTGCTCTACTACCTCCAATGTCGAACTATTGAAAAATCTTTCGTTATCGTATCTTATTTTTCTTACTACAATCAGTACGCCTGTCTTCCTTCTATCAACTTGTACTTTTCCCTATTTCGTGTGATAAAGTAATCTATTTCATTCTATTGTGGTTACTGACTCAAATTGCCTTGATTGGTCTAACATAACGTGTAAATATTCAAGTATATTAGAGAAAAGCCTGATGACTTCAGGATGAAGCTATCAGCCAAAATACAGGATAACCCTAAATATCTTTTCAGCTACATGACTAAAAGAAAACCGACGAATAGAAGTGCTTGTGATCTCAATGGTAAAAGTGGTGAACTTACCAACTTAGAGATGGCCGAGATATTTAACACCAACTTCACCCACCAGTTAAACCAGATACCCACTAACTCAGAGTACTGATCAAATCCAGTGCTAGCTGATGGCTTAGAGAATATCCGACTTAATTCTGGGGTCATCTTAATTCCATCCATCTTCTGATATTTTTCAGTGGCTAATTAGATAAAAACGGCTCCGTGGCTCTAATCTTCGCAGATAATCCGAAGATCTGGAGGTCCGTAAGGAGCGAAGTGGAATCAACTGAGCTTCGAACAGAACATACGACAGTAGAGGGGTGGGCATTGCACGGTAGGTTAAAACTTAGCCAATCGAATTGTCACGTTGTGAACATTCTGCCAAACGTGATTCAAATAACTTCCGTCCTCAGTGGAAGTCCTCCCCCAAATATCTCCTCAGAGATCGATCTCGGTTCAACAACCACAGAGAACCTGAACATAACTTCTAACTGCTCAGGGAAGGCGGCCAAGGCTAACACAACTCTCCACTTGATGCAGAGATAACTTCGTACATCCGTCTCACAATTTTACCGAACTCCCTCTAAAACATGCGAATGGTCAACCCTTGAACTGCTTAATGTCTTCACATTCCTTCTTCTGTAAAAGAGAAAAATCTCGTGGATCGATTGTAGAGACGAGCAACTAATTTCGTGATAGGGTTAAAGAATAAATCTAACGAAGGACTATTCCTGCTGAGTTGTAGGAGAACCAGAGGCGTTCTGATAATTGCTTACAACGTGTTAAGTGAGCCGAATCATACAAACACGAGAATTTTACCAACACATCGTCAGATCATCCTTCGAAGTAACATTCGAAAATGTGCTCAGCGAAGAGCGAACACCTTGGTACACGCCCACGTTTTCTCATTAAGATTTTCCCCAACTTGTTATACTCTCCCAGCCGAAGTGAATACAATACCGTCAGTGAATAGTTTCAAAAAGAAACTTGCGAACACGTGCCCACATTCGGATCATAATCTACTACCCAGATCAGCTGTGCCTGAAGCACGTCTCGAAACTTGCTAGTTGTTATCATTGTCATTTCCTCAGATCACTAACTTACTGTATGTCACTTATTGTCTCTGTCTCTTATTCTTTGTTCACACTTCTGTTTTTACACACAATCTTCACTAGTTCTGAAATTTTCGCATTTTTCTCTCTCTTTGTAATCCTCCACACTGCAAATAACTGATGTCCGGCCTGGTAATGTGATAGTTGCTGATATCCAGAAAACCTACTGCCCTGAGACAAACCCGCTCACTCAAATCACGGGGCACAAATTCATCAAGAACTGCCGACTGACTAGAATTAATGTAGTCGAGTGGCTGGAGTATCATCCATTGGGCATCACCAATTACCTGGAATTGTACCTAAAGAACAAGAAATCAATTGGTGTAGACTAGCTTCTGTAAAAGATATTGGACATTGTTTGTACGGCGGTATTATGGGAATCCCAGTACATATTTCTTAGTATAAATCCTACGAACTTTCATGGAGTAGTGGTAGTAAGTACTTCGGTTTACTTTAATCCAAAATTTTTCTCATACACCAATGTGTGGAAAATCACAAGTAGTTAAATACTCGATATTTAAACAATTCAAATTCGACTTATCTCAGTATATTTTAATTTGTCTGAGATTATAAGACTCACTATTTTTGCTTCTAAGATCTGATTATAACTAGCAGGTAGCCACTTGTTACAATATGATATTTAAATTGCATTTTTACGATGAATGCTTATTCCACACAACAAAATTCTTCCGAACTTATAGATTCTGGTGGATGTATAGTCTTCTCAGACTGATCAGTCTTTAGCGACAAGGATTGTCGGTCACTCGACCTGTATTAATCCTAGTTATCTATCAGAAGTCCGACCCACTCTTGAAAGTGCTTTCTATTACGGTTTGTATCATTTATTGGGACCCTGACATGGTCGGCAAATCTGGTTGGTCAACCTTACTGTCTACTGTCGTCCAGATTGTGACATCGTCTGTAAATAAGTTTCCACGACTCAAAAAGTCTTGGTTATTTATTAACGTAGAGGAGAAGATATGGGAGAAATAAAATGGTGCCCTGTTTACCACTTCATTTGACTTGTCTCCACTGAAATAGTATCCCATTTACTCACTAATCTACTCTTGTATGGCGTCTGTTATTCGAAAGCTGAAAAGCTGTTTGAGCCAAAAGTGAAACACCGTGTAAATTGCATCGATGGATTGTGGATATCACGTAAACAGATAAACTACTATCTTAGACATCTGTCCAAACTCCGCTTGCAGTTAGTAGGGTACTAAACTGTTTTCCCAACCATTAGTTCACTCTCGTTCACTAATTTCTATTAACTTTTGTTGGTATCGTCCTTCCCCTCTTTCCTAAACCTCACTTTTGCTATGTGACGTGTATATATCTTGGTGTCTCCTTGTACCAATGTTTTAAATAAGTGAAGAAATAGAGTGGAGGTAGAGGAACTAACTCGATTAACTTTCGGGCTTGTCTATATCTGACTGAACCAATGTATCCAAATTGTTTTGCTACACTAATGGAGGGATTCCAACATAATATTTTGTTCTTTGCTTGCTGTACGGAATCATCGTTTTGAACAAGTACGGCTATCGTTTGCCTACCGTTTTTCGGTTTGGGCACCTGGCTGGTATCTTAGCCCACACACAAATTAAATGTATGTGGTGCATGTATGTATATTTTTCGGTGTCCATTTGTATGAATGTCTATATGCCTAAATAAATAAAAAATTCATATGCTTTAAATAGCAATCCTACCTATACATTATTTATGTGTAAATGATGATTATGAAATGTTGGAAAATTTTCAGCTCCAGCGGACGATAATGGTGCTGACAATGTTGCTCAGAAGAACGATGAAAGCTCCACAACCAAACTATTCAGGAAAAATATTGATGACGTTGATTGTACCTTCATGGTCATCCTTTAACATAAATGTAAATGGTCGAGTAAATTATTATTTCCTCGTGTTAAAAATGGCTGTAAGAACTTCGTATGTAGTCAGCAAAACGAATATTTTCTATGTCATTCAGTCGTCAACCATCGGTTACAATCGTCTCGCGGTCCCTGACAAGATAGTATACACCTACTAAAATGACTTCATGGATTTGTGCCATGTTTTGGCTTGGCCACCTGTAGCTTTCTTCCAACCTACCCCACATCAGACAACATCGCTCTTGAGGCAGACGGTGTTTTTGCATGCGTAACACATTCACTACTTCATTAATCAGTCTGTTATCCTTACCTAGTACCTGTTTCTTAACACCAGCATTACTTACCCAGTGGTATCACGATATACGAACAGTGCTTTGAAAATATCTTGATTGTTGATTTCCGTCCCTTGCAAGGTTTACAGGTCTTATGCAGTCAAATTTGTTGTTTTCTGAATGCTTATCCGTATTTTGAGGTTTTAAATCCATCATGTTTTTTCTTCGCTGATTTGTATTTTCGTGAATCTTACTTTTGCTCCCAAATCCTTTTTGTTGCTACTATCTCCACTACTTTGAAAACCGAACCGACCATTTTATTTGTCTCTTTTAACCGGACATGGCGACTTGAACTTATGTACGTGTGTGCCAAATCCTCCATTGCAACTGACTGACCGACTGACTTATTTGTTGTCTATATGTATTCATTCATTACTGTAATCCGTTTATATAAGATAGGATTTCAGACTCCTAATTTTATTGATAATTTTCCGCAAACAGTAGTACAACATCATATGACTGATAATAGAGTATAACTATGACTTGATAGCTAAGACGTTCGACCTAGCTGGTCGTAGGTCTTAATTTATCCACCTATCTAGATTTGACAAGGCAGTAGTATTACTAACCGCCCTCTGGAAACCATATGCATGAAACTGCATTTATAGTTACTCGATAACTATAATAGTAGTAATAACAAGATAGGTAGAGTAAAGACAGTACACGTGAACGTGTTTTGTCCTTAAGAGGTTAGTCTCGCAACTTGGCAGTTGTGTCAACCGGTCGTCATCACTATAAAGCATGATACAGGTGCACCTTGCCCCAAGTTGCCATACCATCTTAACATTATAAGCTGAGACTGAAAATATTTATGGCAAAAGGGATTAAAATAATGTGGTAGTAATGATGCTAGAAAGTGATCAGACATTGGGAATATAGTTTGTTGTTAATCTACATTCCCAAACACAACGAAAATCGATCTTAATTTCGCATATCGCCGTCGTTGTTAGGGTTATCACTGCATATTCTTCATTCTTAAAATGATTCAAAAAACATTGTAGATGTTTACATGAATGTCAAGATCGAGAAAAAGGATAGAGAGTAAATGGACCTGCTTCATTAAACTATTCCATGTCATGTCACCCAGTCTCCAGACTGAACGTGATTATCGTGCCGGCATCAACCAAGTAATCTGTATCTGCCCACATGGCTCAGACTAGCAATTAGTGATTTCATGGACTGTTGCTATGTCTTGGTTTGGCCGCCCCCTGCATTCATCCAACCTTTTACACCAACAAACGCCTATCAAGGTAAGTAGTGATTAGACGTATAAAACGTATATATCAGAAACATGTGCCCTTTGTATGACTCCTACTTTCAAAGACCATATTTTACGACCATGAAGTAATACAGAGTGAGGCACTACTTAATATACTCACCTGCCAGTTGACACGCCAACGGGAATTTCTCAGTCTGTCGAGATTTCGTCAGGTACAAACCCACCAGGGAAGCTGTGTTGTGATTACGTGCATCAATTTACTGCAAATGCTATCGTTGAATATCTAAAAACTGCATGATAAAGCCATTAAACTTCGTGAGTGTATCGTCCAAGGAAACGATTCTGTCCCACTATTTCTTGCAAGCGATCCAAGATATCTAAGGTGTAAGAATTATGGTGGAGTTTCGTTCTCCGATCTGGATGTTTTGGTTGTAAAGCCTTCATTGTTCCTCTGAACATCATCAGCACAAACTCAAGATAGAAGTGAAGTATTCGAATTTCTCCACGAATGACTCGTAGCTTGTTCTGTTAACTTCTATCTTGATTAGTTGTTATTGTCATTAAACTTGTCGTTGTCTGTATCCCCCCTTTGATCTGTCTCTTGATCCCTTTTTCTGATTGGTCGATAAGTTGGATCAATGTCGATGTGTTTGTTGGTTGCTAATTGACTTGAGTGCCAGAAAGAAGGATGCGTCGTAGAACTTCGTACGTAAGTACATCACTTCATGTTGCCATACCACATTAGCACAGAGACGCAATTGTCAATTCAAATCCTATAGTGGTAGAGATAGTAGAAGAATTAGCAATAATGGAGAAGATTAGGATTTGAAGATATTATTCAAGAAGTACAATTCAGTGAGATCAGTTTAGAAATACGAAGGAAGAGTTGTTGACGAAGATTAGGATTTGAGAGAACACAAGGAGTGCATGCACCTGCGCCACTGCAAACGATTTTGAGCCATGTCATTCAATGTCTCTAACCATCAGTGACTTTCGTCTCGCGGACCCCAACCAGGTGGTCTACATCTACCAACATGACTCAGTCCACTTGTCAGTAACTTCTTGAACTCCTGCCATGTTTTCTTCTGGCCGCCCCTAGCTCTCTTCCAACCTACCCCTACACCACAAAACATAGCTCGTCTAGGCAGTCGGTGGCTGGGCATACGTAACACATGTCCCAACCACTTCAACTGATGAAGGTTCAATACTTCATCAGCTGATCTGCCATCCTTACCTAGTACTCGTTTCCTAATGGCAGCATTGCTTACTCGGCTGTCCCACGATACACGAGCAATGCTTAGAAGACACCTATGATCAAAAACCAGTAACCTACGAATATCTTCTACTCTCACTGGCCGTGTCTCACAGCCATATAGTAGGACAGAGCGAACTGCTGGGCAGTACACTCGTCCTTTAGTCAGCAAACGGATATCTCGCCGACGTCATAAGTGACGCAGTTTGGCAAAAGCCAATCGAGCCTTCTGTATTCGTGCAGAGATTTCGTCAGTCACCAGGCCATCACCGCTGATGAAACTCCCAATATAAGTGAAGCGGTCTACACGCTCAACCACTTCACTCCCTATCACTAGTTCAGGTGCCGATGCAACCCAATCTTGAAGCAACATTTTACATTTTTGGGGGGGAACCGCATCCCAAACATGCTTGGATTGTTACTTATGGTAGTCAGAAGACACCGCATTTTGTCAGTGTCTTCACCAAATAGAACTATGTCATCGGCATATTTTAGGAATGATATTGTCACAGTTTTATAGGGGAAAAGACTCACTAAAGTGATTATGGACAATGAAAAATATATCGGGAAAGCCGAGGAACTACTTGAGAACAAAAGTGTATATAAACCAATGGACGAAAATCCAATCAAAAGGTTAGAAACCAGATCTCAAGGACTCTAAACAAGCTTTTCAAAGCAAGATAAATATCAAACTAGATCGATGGATAGTGAAATCTCCAGTTGTTCAACGATTCTACGGTAAGCCGAAACTACCTAAACCAAATATTCCACTACTTCCAATCGGATCCCTTCTTGGAACCCTAACGTACAGCTTATCAAGAGAAATTTCAAGGCTATCAAAACAGTTAGTGATTTCATACATTCACTGCATTCAATCTCCCATACAATTCTTCGATAAACGTGAGGAGATTCTAATATCAATGACTAACTGATAATATCCTTCGACATGAAATCCTCTTAAGAATTGTAGACTTCTGTGATATTGTGGTCTTAAAATTACTTATTGTCCACAACACCAACGATCCAGTAATGTTCCCCGAAATCAAAATCTTTTATTTTTATTCCCTTCCTGTTTATTATTTCGTAACAGTATTTGCAGCATGACTTTTACATCTAAATTCATCCAACTTACAGGATAGCATACAGTCTTCCAAATCTTTCTACTGTAGTTTAGGACCTTTAATCAAACAAAACTTCAACAGTCAGCACTCGGGATTTTCTTAGTATAGATATGTGGTTTATTTTCAAGACAGTCAAGCATGTAACTCTTCATTTGGATTTGTTTGGTGTTTGTTATAACTTCTAGATGCACACTAAAGGTCTTAAATATGTCACTAGTCTCTGTAAACTTTCAGCTGTAGATGTAACATAAAGTATAAAGTCTTATAGTTCACTATTTCATAAAACATTTATGTTCATGTTGAACTCTACCAAGATCTATAAAATGTGTTCCGAAATCTTAAATATGCGAATGTAACATCATTATCAAAAGACATTAACCGTGACTACATATAGTTTGTGCTTATCTTAAAAATCCTCGGCATCTGCTAATAATTTGATCTATTTAAAAATGTCTCAATTCAGAGCTTTCTGTTTCATCCTTAAAGTTGTTAATATTAACCCGAAATTATACGCTAATAGCTTCATATATTGATTTCAACTTATCCAGTGTAATAGGCGTTTTCTAAACGGATTTTTATCCCTAACTTCACTGTTATGGAGGATAGTTTTATGGTTTCATATACGATAAATAGAATGCAATGATATGAAGTTACATAGTGATATCTGCTCGTGTTACTGAATTACCGACCAAAATCGCTGAATGAACGTACATTGGAAGACAAGATAGTAAAATAGGGTTTTCATAAATGTAGACTCTGGGTCACTTCATCTGCAGCGTCTCGTTGATTTGATATCATGACATATGATATCACATATATTCATCTGTGACTGTGTAATCTTAAACAGTTTTCTGCACAACAAGCGTATGATCATACGTTAAAAATTTGATTGATTCTCTTTTAATTGAATGTTAGTTTTATATCGTTCGTACAGTCCATTATCATATGGTATATAATTACAAACTTAGGATTCTGAACTATGTTAGTTTCTCCCTTTCCAATTACTTTTAAAAAAATTTTCTGTATGCACCACAGCTTTTGAAATGTATGCATTGTTGTACACTTGGTTTTTGTAGATCATGAACCAGTATATTATACCACTGGCACATAACGATCCGAGGCTTTTTTCCCATGTCTCACAAGCCTTTTCCTTAGTTGATCTTGGCAAGCGTTTGCTAGATGCCGCAAAAAATGGAGATGTTGAGGAAGTTAAGAATTTGATAAATAATGGAGCACCATTCACTACAGACTGGGTAAGTTATTAGGATAGTTCTCAGCGGTATGATTAAACAGCAAAATTATGTATTGTTAGTATCTGTGCATGTTTCGAGACCATGGGTTTCTGTAAATTAAGGTATCAGATATCCTATGTTTATTGTCTTTTCTTGGAGTGTTATCACTATCTATTTAATACACAAGTTAAAATAGTGTGAATGTTTCTAACTTTCTTTATACAGATAAAAGTCAGTTTAAAATTTTGTACATGAGAGCATCAGTTCAAGTTGTTACATCCAAAATCAACTTAGGGAATAGGCAATACAAATGGAAAGATTTTAAATAAAAAAGGACAAAAGCGACGAAGCAGCAGAAATAATTAATGATAGCATAAGTAATTAGTAATTCCATTCTTATAATCTGCATCATCCGGAGTTTCAGGTTATTGGTTTAACAATGTAATCTTCCTTATTTATTAGGGAAAATATTATTAGGGAGTGAAACAATTGAGCGTGTCGACCACTTCACTTACGTCGAGAGTCTCATCAGTGCTGATGGCCTGGTGACTGACGAAGTTCCTGCACGGATAAAGAAGGCTCGATTGGCTTTTGCCAACCTACGTCACTTATGACGTAGGCGAGATATTTGCGTGCTAACCAAAGGACGAGTCTACTGCTCGGCAGCTCGATCCGTCCTAGTTTATGAGTGAGAAACATGGCCAGTAAGAGTAGAGGATATTTGTAGACTGTTAGTATTCAATCATCGATATCTTCGATGCGTTGCTCGTATATCCTGAGACAATTGAGTAAGCAATGCTGTCATGAGGAAACGAGTACTAGGTAGGGATGACAAATCAATAGATAAAGTAGTGGAACTTCAACAGTTGAATGGTTGGGACATGTACTATGTATGTCGACCGACTGTCTAGATGCGCGATGTTTTGTGGTATAGGATTAGGTTGAAAGAGAGCTAGGGGCGGCCAGAAGAAAACATGGCAGAAATCCATGAAGTCACTGACAAGTGGACTGAATCATGTTGGTAGATGTAGGCTACCTGGTTAGGGTTCGAAACTCAATCGCAATCGGCAGTCAGAGACCTTAAATGACATGGCTCATTATCGTTTGCAGTGGCGCCGGTGCACCCATTCTTTGTGTCCTTTTAAATTCTAATCTTCTGAATAACTCAACATTGTTTCTCTTTTCAAATCTCTTTCATCACTGGGTTATACTTCTAGAATCATATCTTCGAACCCTAAACTGTTCCATTACCGCTAGTACTGTTACTAGCTGTATTAATATGGGATTTGAATTGACATTTCTATATCTGTGTGCTAATGTGATCTGGCAACTTGAACTGATGTATGAACGTACGAACTTCTACGTTGTAGTTGTGTGGTTGTCTCTTTTTAGTCGTTGTGCGATTTCGAGCATAAAATGTGGCAGTATGCTCAGTCTCCTAAATCCCGACCGAAGCTGCTACCTTGACGTGGTGGTCGGGCTTGCCTATCGTGATGACCCAACCGAGCTATACTGGCTGGAACATATGTTCCTGCAGGTCCTACCATGCCAGGCTGGTCGATTGGAGAACGATGAGACTAAAAGCAGCTACCCAAGGTCTGAGGGCGAAGTCGTACTGCTGACTGCAGAGGGGTGTGACAGCAGTAAGGTGTTTCCCTCGGACAACCAGCATCTGCAGCGATGCTGCCTTCTCACAAGGAAGGAAGGGTTAGAAAAGGTCGGCCCTAAAAATGTCACACTCCCCCTAACTCACGGATTTCCGTCTCCCTGGGTAAGGGTGCCCACTAAGGGCCTTTAAGAACGGAGCTAATCCTCTAAATACCTTACATAAAAAGGCCGTTCGTGACCGGCCTCAAGCAGTTGTCCCTTGGGCTCTGCGGTCACGCACCAACACTAATCCATCTTCCTTTTCAGGTCCCTCAAGAAACAACCTTCCACGGTGTGGGCAGCCGGGAAGTGACAACCGCCCTCATACCCGTAACAGCACGCGAGACCAAATTGGTCAAAATCAAATCCTTCCTACACCAAAGCATACCTCTCTTCTCTCTACAACTAACTCTACTCACACTCCCTTTTCTCACTGCACCGCTAATGCAGACGAAGCGAGATCACGAAACGTCGTTCCTGGTCTCTTGAAACCTCGTTCTAGACTACATGTTGGAGCTTTTAATGTTCGGACATTGTGTCAAATAGGGCAACAGGCATCATTAGCTAGGACTTTAGAAACTCGTGCCATCGATGTATGCTGCGTCTCGGAAACGCGCATACAGGATCCTAGTAAAATTATTAATCTGATTTCACCTTGTCAAAATAAAGAAGCAGCTCGCATACTCGTCGGTTATTGGTTTTCGATCATAGGTGTCTTCGAAGCATTGCTCGTATATCGTGGGACACCCGAGTGAGCAACGCTGTTATTAGGAAACGGGTGCTAGGTAAGAATGGCAGATCAATCGATGAAGTATTGAAACTTCACCAGTTGAGGTGGTTGGGACATGTGTTACGTATGCCTAACCACCGACTGCCTCGTCGAGCCTTGTTTTGTAGTGTAGGAATAGGTTGGAAGAAAGCTAGGGGCGGCCAGACCAAAACATGGCAGAAATCCATGAAGTCATTGACGAGTGGACTGAGCCATGTCGGTAATTGTCGACTACCTGGTTGGGGTCCGCGAGATGATACTTACCGATGGTTAGAGACCTTGAATGACATGGCTCAAAATCGTTCGCAATGGCGCCGGTGCATTTATTCTCTGTGTTCTCTCAAATGCTAATCTTCTGGATTCTTGAACACATCTAGTTTTGTCTTACCAAAATTTTCTCATTAAATCATACTTCTTGAATAATATCTTCTAATTCTAACCTGTGCGATTACTCCTAATACCTTTACTACCTCTTCTACTATTGGATTTGAATTGACGATTACTTCTCTGTGCTGATGTGGTATGGCAACATGAACTGATGTACTTATGTACAAAGTTCTACGTTGCATCTGACTGACTGACTGACTGACAGTCTCCTAAATATTTTGTATATATTTGGTTACCATTTCTTCAGTCGTTTTATACTACCCAAATAAACTTGCTTGTCCATTATTAAAGTAAATATTTATTGATTTTGTATTCTACAGTAAAGTAATAAATTTTAAGCATATTCACTCAAAGCGTTTATGAAATACGTTATGGGCTATGACTTACAATTGACTAAGTGTTAAAATTAGTCAATTGTAAGTTATAGCTATGATTATAATTCACAAGCAACTAGTTGTACAGTTAGGTGTCCATGACAGTGATTCCCACCCCGAAGCAGCAAGGACGATCTCCAGTTAACCTGAGTGGCGAATCGATGTCGTTCCTCCGACTATTAATGAAGTTGTAGAAGCTATAGGAAACCTGAAGCGAGTGAGAGCGGCGGGTCCTAATAGATTAACCCCTGAGATCTTTTAAGCATGGTGGTCAAGTTTTAGCAGTTACATTGACTGCGATTTTTGGTAGAATCTGGGAACTGGGCATAATCCCATCTATGAAGTCACTAACACCTGGACTTTGTCATGTTGGTAAATGTAAACTACCTGGTCGGAGTTCGCGAGACGATACTCACCGATAGTTAGAAACCTTGAACGATATGTCTCAAAATCGATTGCAATGGCGCAGGTGCATCCAAACTTTATGTTCTATCAAATTCTAAACCAAACTCATGACATTCGCCTCAAATCTATTTCACTGGATTATACTTCTTAAATAACATCTTCGGACCGTGATCTTTCCGATTTGTGCTCATACTCCTACTATCTCTACCTCTATGGGATTTGAACTGACAATCGCGTCTCTGTGTTAATGTGGTATGGCAACCTGAACTTATGTACGTACGTATGAAGTTCTACGTTGTAACTGACTGACTGACTAGTTTACATCACACTCTGACCTTAGCTAGACAGTTTCAATAATTCCGGGCGTAAAACAATAATGATGGCAATGGATGGTCTTGGAAACTTACAACTTTGAATGCCGATAGGCTATTTAACGAAACCTGAATGTGCTAATTCCTATTTCAGGAATAGTTTTGTCAGTCTCTCAAACGCAACGTAGAGCTTGGTGAGTTTACGTCAGTTGAATTTGCCATACACCATCGACACATTGAGATGAAACTGTTAAGGCTAATTCCTCAGATTGGTAGAGGTAGTTATTTTACTAATGATTATAGAAACGATTATGCATCAGAGACACAGTTCATGAAGGAAATATAATTTAGTTAAATAAGAAGAACACAAGGAATTCAAAAATTTATGAGTAAGGGGGAGAAAAAAAGTGTATACACCTGTGCCGTTTCTGATAATTTCGAGCCATATCATTCAAAGTCTATAACCGCTGATCGCGATATTCACGCGGACCCTAGTCACATTATTTACATGGCTCAGTCCAATTCAGTGTGTTCGCAGACTAATATCATGTTTTGGTTTGTTCTTTCCTCCTTTTTTTCAAACTTGACTCATATTGTTCAATCAAGATTTTTGGAATAACCATATATGTGTTTTCAACAACACAAAATTTAATATAGTTCTCGATGCCTATGTTCTATCTAGGAAGGTTTACTTTTTGCTTCGTATATTAAAAGTTCGCATGTACATTTGTTATTGATATGTCTGAAGACTAAGAATTGTTTTTCATGGTCTCTGATTGTTAGCATGTGTATATAACTCTCATATAAAGCTTGTTATAATTTTCACTTTTTTGTATAGTTGGGAATATCCCCTCTCCATTTCGCTGCTATGAATGGACATCTTAGTTCATGTGAAGCGCTCCTACGTGCCGGTATTAGCAGGGACGCTCGAACTAAAGTTGACCGTACTCCTCTTCATTTAGCTGCTCAAGAGGGTCATGCGGACATCGTGGAGTTACTGTTACGTAATGGAGCGGATCTTAGTGCTAAAGATATGTTACGTATGACAGCATTGCACTGGGCAGCTGAAAGAGGTCATACACCTGTTGTTCAAATGTTGATGCGTTTTGGAGCTGATGCACATCTTCAGAACAAATTCGAGATGACTCCTTTAGATATAGCGGAGTGTAAACATCATGATGATGCTCGGGATGCTATGTTAGTAAGTCATATTACATATCTGTCTGTTCTGAAAGTGTGTAAAGGTAATTCTCAGTTTTCTAAATTCCCAATTACTTTGTATAGTTCAAAGTTCTTAATGTTATATACATATTTCACTTATTATTACAATGAATAGAAGTAGATGTTACTAAAAGATTAAACTAAATTGTAAAGCATCAGTTTACATCACAACGTTTGACTGTGATCGCTCTAGGCGACAATTTGACAAGTTTTGTAGACCAACGAATGTGATAATTTTTTATTAGCTAAAAAATTAAATGCCACTTTGACATGAGTAGATGAACTCATCTATAAGATTATGATCTTTTTTTGTGATGAGTAGAAGATATAAAGCGAAAAATCCGTCCTAAATTACTTTGTTTTTTTTTTATAAATTTTTGAAATTTTTACAGAATACTCAGTATGATTTAGTATCGTCAGTTGGTCGTATGGCTGCCACGAATGGGGATATAGTAGGCGCTAATGCATATATCTTGACAGAAGAAGAGACATTAGTTCCTGCTGCTCCTCCAGCTGATGAGGTGACAGTCACTGCAACAACGGTTGAAGAGTCCTCCAGCATACAAAATTCTGATATCTCCGAGACATTCGCTAATGACGATGATGCTACTAATGAAGAAGAAAAAATTACAACGCATATTAAATTAAAAAGTAACCACAATGGTTCTAAAAAGCTAATATGGAGAACTGAGGGATTGAATAAAAATACAAATGTCAACCTCCATGATGAAAATTCGGAAGCCCAAACCATTTCTAATTCATTATCACAGTCAACACATGCGAATAAAACAGATTCTATTTTGGATACTAAAAATGATCCAAATTTAACTGGAGATATTTTGTTGCCTTTAGGTGAAGATTGTCCAAGCGATGTTGTAAGCTGTTTAATCTTTTTTATCACCCCTACGTTTTTTTTCCAAAATGCTTACTTTTGATATTTTACTACCTTTACGGTCCGCTTAGTAGATCATAAAGGTATCATTCACCCTGATTGTAGGTTAGCTTAATATTTGAATAGCTGTGTTGACGACAGTGTTATCTATCAGTCACTTAAATTCGAAAGTTGGAAGAGACAAGTAGGTAACAGTAGCTCGAAATCTCAGGTTCCAAGCATGATAAGCAAAGACGACTTGGAACGCAGGCAGCCAGATAGTTCGGAAACTTCGCTGGAGTTTCACCACTTCAAGCCATTTATGATCCAGTTACGATGTCTGTCTCCCCTCAAAGGAACGAATATATTGGGTAACATAACGCTTTTGTTTGCTATATGCAAGTGAAATGATGCTTTCAAAAGCAAAAAGCATTCATCAGTCACTCCAGTCAGTCAGTTACTGCATAGAACTTCGTAGGTACATTAGTTCAGCTTGCCATTCCACATTAGCATAGAGATACAATTGTCAATTCAAACCCTAAAGTAATACATAGAGTAGAAGGACAAGTGGTTATGGTCAGTCAGTCAAATAAAACGTAGAAGTTCGTAGGTACGTACGTCAGTTCCGGATGCCATGTCGCATCAGCACACACATCACCGCCAGTTCACATCCGGGAATTACTGGTGATGGAGAATACTGAGGATCGAAGATAATATCCAAGAAGTGTAGTTCAGCGAGATAACTTTAGAAGGAGATAGAGATGATGAGGAATTCAGAAAATTAGAATTTGAGTGAACACAAAAAAGGGATTCACCTGAGCCATTGCAAACGATTATGAGCCAAGTCGTTCAAGGTGTCTAACCGTCGGCGACTTTCGTCTCGTGGACCGCAACCAGGTAGTCTACACGTACGAACATATCTCAGTACGACTATCAATTACTTCATGGATATGTAACATGTTTTGGTTTGGCCACCACTAAATTGCATAGCTTACTCAATTGTCTCAGGATATACGAGCAACGCATCGAAGATATCGATGATCGAATACTAACAGTCTACAAATATCCTCTACTCTTACTGGCCATGTTTCTCACTCATAAACTAGGACGGATCGAGCTGCCGAGCAGTAGACTCGTCCTTTGGTTAGCACGCAAATATCTCGCCTACGTCATAAGTGACGTAGGTTGGCAAAAGCCAATCGAGCCTTCTTTATCCGTGCAGGAACTTCGTCAGTCACCAGGCCATCAGCACTGATGAGACTCTCGACGTAAGTGAAGCGGTCGACACGCTCAACTGCTTCACTCCCTATCACCCGTTCAGGTGCCGATGCAAGCCAATATTGAAGCAACATTTTGCATTTCGACGAGGAGAATCGCATCCTGAACATGCTTGCATTGTTGCTTGGGGCAGTCAGAAGACTGTACTTTTCAGCTTGTTCACCAAATAGGACTATGTCACCAACATACTCTAAGTCAGCAAGCGTGTCTTCTGGTACAAGGTCCACACCTGAAAATTTAGACGATATCGTTCCAGGCTGCCTCGGTGTTGGCATCACTTACTGGATGGCCGCCTAACTGTCTTTCTAGTTGCTACTGAGATATATTCTTAGCTATGCTGTCACTAAGTAGTACCCTGAGAGGTTTCCTCGCGGTGTCTTTCCTACGTCCAGTAAGTCGCAAACAAATACGCGCTCGCACTAGAGCATGATCTGAATCTAAACATGTGCCATAAAACGAGTGACAGTCCTCGGTGGCTGATTGCGAGGTGGTCTAGTTGGGTCCAGCGTTGGGACGCCTTTGGGGGTCACCAGGTCAAAAGATGTTTTTCCTTATGCTTAAAGTTAGTGTTTGCTAGAAGTAGGCGACTATCTGAGCACACCTGTAGTAGGCGGTCGCTACTATTTGGTCGATCAGCAGCAACACCATAAGATCCACCCAGGTGTCTTTGCTTTACGCTTAGCCTACAAGCTTGAGCATCAAAGTCACCAGCCATTACTACTATATCAGGGTGCCTAACGTTTTGGAGGTCCGAAAGCTTTCTGTAAAACTCATCTTTTACCCCGTCCGAACTGCAGTCAGTGGGAGCTTAGGCAAAGACGGCGAAGAGACAACGGCGAGTGTCCCTATCTTTCCGAGTCCTTACTGTCCTGTTTAGTCGGAGAACATTCATAATTTGCTAGTATTCAATGATAGATAAGCTTTTCTCGCGTATGCTAGGTTAGATTCAGGACACTAGGTGAGATGGTAAATCTTTGTTGCAGGTTGCGTTGCGTATGCTTGATAACTGCCTGTTTCGATCATTAATGTTCGTTGGTGTATGGATAAATATGAAAGATGGTAGAAGCGCCTAAACCAAGACTTGGAATTAGTCTATGGAGTCGCCATCTGTTGGACGTAACCGTGTTGTTAGATGCAAATTACTTGGTTGAGGGTAGTGTAATAATCGTGAACGTAGTTATGGATTCTGAGTTATATAGCTAAGTACTGGTCACAGGCGCGTGTTCATTTTCTTTATCTTCTCCCGTCCTAATTTTCTGCATTGTTTCTTATTTTTTACCCACCTATCTTATACCTTCTTTTAGAATTGTATTCTCTAATGCGTATTACTTCTCGCTGATATTACTATTACTCCTCCCGTTTCGGCAGTCATCGTAATTTCACCTCGTTGTAATGATGTAGTCTGAGAACTTTGGTTAGCACAGTTGTATCAGACTATATGTTAGTTATAACTGGCCCGCCGTTAGGTTGCATGGAAAATAATGTAGTGATCCAAACTGTTTTATCAACTATTACTCCACACCCAAATATGATCACCATATTCTCCATTACCGTAGGTAGTATTAAAATTCGATCACCAGCATCACAACACCGCCTAATTTCTTCAAAGGAGACCAGACTCATTCATAGCTTCATATGAATATCACTATGTTTGTTGATGTACAAATACAAAAGCTTGATTTCTGTAGGATTTTGTTTTTTGTGCACGCAGAACGATAGCTTAACTTAACACTAAGGTTTGAATCACTGACTCACGAATCATAGCCCGACTTCACCCATATTTCACAATCGTTTTGGCTCACATCATCGTGCATAAATGTGTCACCATACTGTCTATATTCGGTAGTGTTTAGTAGTGCTTTGATGGTAGCCTCTAGAAGGGGTGATGGCTGAATGTAACCGTCATATCAAGAATAAACGGTAGCGTCCTACTCTTTTTTCTGTAGTGTATAATTTATTGCTGAATAAATATGATTGCATTTTCAACCTTTGCTTACAATATCAGATGATAGTTGAGACTCCGGATGGTGAAACGCTTTACGTCCATCAGCAACCGAATGAAGACGGCTCTAGTGGTTTAGTCATTTTAAATGACACAGGTGAACAGGTGAATAATCCGACTTTGATGGCTCAAGTAATGGATGCCTTAGTCACTTTACCAGAGAATATGATAAGCGAAACATTAAGTCCAGATAGGTAAGCAACAGTTTATTAATATCAAGAAACTTTAATTTCACTATAGATTTACATTTGCCTGTTGAACTTATGATTTACATTTTTTACTTCTGTTAGCTCTAATGTAAATATTGAATCGGATTTAAATACTTCATCACTTCAACACTTGGATAAGAATACAAACACCATAACCTCGAGGCCAGAATTCAATAAGACAATCGTTAACGACGGATTTTTTCAGCCCAGCACAAATGGTTATCAAACAGGAAATCATCGACTGAGCCCTACGCATACTATAGATAATGAGGACGATGATGAAGATCTTGACAACGATGAATCAGAATCATTAGTAGCTCACTTAGCTGCATTCGCCAACCAACCTGAATCCCAACAAACAACTATCTGCGTAGAGGGTGAGTAGAACGCAGAGGATGGAAATGTGTGATTTTAATTTTGTGGGGTTTGATGGTAATCAGTTAATTCTTGGGTTTTTATTGTATTGTGAGAATGAGTTACATTATTTTCATACCAAGATTCTCCTAATGTAAAGCTTACATTTATCACATATCCTATCCCGCAGGTGATCCTCCAATGTTCGTTTGGTCAGTTGTAGTTCCTAAAGGATTGCCCCGTTTGAAGTACAGTGGAAGTGTGGTTCTTTAGAGTGAAGAACGTCACTCAAACGCTTCAATCTTACCCTTTTTGGAAGTATTATGGCTCTTGTTTCCTCACTTATTCCATAATCGATCATCAGAGTAAATGTAATCAGAATCCGAATATACTAAACTCGATTAGTCTCAATAGTGTCTATAGCTTGTTCTAGACGTTTTATGGAATAATAAGTTGTATTTGTTTCTTTATTCATCCTTAGGAAGTTGATTACAAATGTTCATCTCTTGACTTATGCTAAGGTAGCTGAAACGTTTTATACTTTGAGAAAAAATGGGGGGGGGTGGGATCTGCACCCCTATACAATAATAAAAAGTACTTAACCTATACTGTTTTCAATCAAAGTGAAATTTAATTAATGAGTAAGAATTTTTTCTAAACTTACACTTCGATGCTTATAAAACACATCTTGCTGGGTGTTTTGTTTTAATATAAAAGGGATGGGATCTTGTGCTTCAACCCATGATCTAATAATGTGGTGCTTGTACAATGGAATATTTATCCGTGGTTATGCAGACGAACCAACTTTCGTTATCGAATTTGTTTACCAAGGTGAAGCATACACCCTTTCAGCGTCATATGGTAAGTTTCCAAGTTTCTAGATAATGTGTGATTACATATCGTTTGAGATTTGCAGCATTAATTGTAGGTTCTCGTCAACTTCTGTTACGCATACAGCACTTCTAGAACCAGGCCTTAGTGATGATTATGTTTCGCAAGTTCTCAACTATATAGAATCCCGTTATCTGGCGTACTTCAGATTGGGCATCTGGGTCAGTCAGTCAGTCAATCAGTTGCAACGTAGGACTTCGTACGTAAGTACATCACTTCATGTCGCCATACCACATCAGCACAGAGAGAAGCAATTGTCAATTCAAATACAATAGTAGAAGAGGTAGTAAAGGTATCAGAAGTAATCAGAGAGGTTAGGATTACAAGGTAATATTCACGAAGTATGATTCAGTGAGAAAAGTTTAGAGAGTCGAAACTAGAGGTGTTGAAGAACCCAGAAGATTAGGATTTGAGAGAACACAAAGAATAAATGCACTGGCGCCATTGCGAACGATTTTGAGCCATGTCATTCAAGGTCTCTAGCCATCGATTATTATCATCTTGCGGACCCCAACCAGGTAGTCGACAATTACCGACATGGCTAAGTCCACTCGTCAATGACTTCATGGATTTATGCCATGTTTTGGTCTGGCCGCCCCTAGCTTTCTTCCAACCTATTCCTACACTACAAAACAAAGCTCGACGAGGCAGTCGGTGGTTGGGCATACGCAACACGTGTCCCAACCACCTCAACTGATGAAGTTTCATCACTTCATCGATTGATCTGCCATTCTTACTTAGTACCTGTTTCCTAATAACAGCGTTGCTCACTCGGGTGTCCCACGATATACGAGCAATGCTTCGAAGACACCTATGATCGAAAACCAATAACCGACGAGTATCTTCTACTTTCACTGGTCATGTTTCACAGCCATATAGTAAGACGGAGCGAGCCACTGCGCAGTACACTCGTCCTTTAGTCAGCAAACGGATATCTCGTCTACGCCATAAGTGACGTAGTTTGGCAAAAGCCAATCGAGCCTTCTGTATTCGTGCAGAGATTTCGTCAGTCACCAGGCCATCAGCACTGATGAGACTCCCAAGATAAGTGAAGCGGTCTACACGCTCAACCACTTCACTCCCTATCACTAGTTCAGGTGCCGATGAAACCCAATCTTGAAGCAACATTTTGCATTTCGAGGGGGAAAACCGCATCCCGAACATGCTTGCATTGTTGCTTAGGGTAGTCAGAAGACTCTGCATTTTGTCAGTGTCTTCACCAAGTAGGACTATGTCATCGGCATATTCTAAGTCAATAAGCGAGCCACCTGGTAAAAGGTCTACTCCTGAAAATTCAGACGAGGATAAGGTTATTTCTAGGAGCATGTCTATGATAAAATTAAACAAGAATGGAGAAAGTGGACATCCCTGACGGACACCACTTGAAGTAGAGAATTCCGGTGACAGTTCGCCATAAGCCCTCACTCGACCAGTGGTGTTCGAGTAAAGGGCTTGTATAAGGTCGATGTACTTATTTGGTACACCTTTCAATGACAGACACTGCCACAGAACCTCACGATCCACTGAGTCAAATGCCGCCTTAAGATCCAGGAAAACAACTATTGTAGGACGCTTAAATGTGTGTCTATGTTCCAGGACCTGTCGTAGTGTGAAAATGTGGTCTATACAGCCACGTCCAGGTCGAAAACCAGACTGGTTTTCTCGAGTTTGCTCTTCACGAGCTTTCGTTAAGCGTCGAAGTATTATTGAGGCCAATATTTTAGATACTATATTAGTTAGACTTATTCCTCTGTGATTGTCACAAGAAGACTTCTGTCCTTTCTTATAGATTGGGACAATCAGAGATTGAGACCACTCAAATGGGATTACGTCCAGTTCCCAGATTCTACCTAAGATCTCAGTCAATCTAGCTGCTAAAACTGGACCACCATCCTTAAATATCTCAGGGGTCAGTCTATCAGGAACTGCAGCTCGCCGTCGCTTCAGATTTCCTAACGCTGGGTAGTATAATAAGCTCCCGTAGCCAGAGCTCAGTTCACAGTCAAGAACACGAAACTATATTTCTTAAATGATCGCGGGCAGTGGTGGGTAACGAAAGCGAAATCCACGGAAAAGGCAGCAGCAGACAGTTGTCCCGACTTATCAAGCAAAATGATATTAGGAATCCTACTGTAAGTGAGACTATCTTGGAAAAGGATGGGACTATTATTTATTCTCAGTCCAGGAGATTAGATCGATGGGCACTAGACTTTAGGAATCAGTTCAACTGGCCTTCAGCCACACTTCGGTTATCCACAATCTCCAGTCGTCCTGAACGGGAAACCGACATAAGTTCTCCAGACCTTTATGAAGTTGAAAAGGCTAGAGGAAATCTGAAGCGAGAGGAAGCAGAGGGTCCTAATAGATTGACCCCTGAGATTTCTAAAGATGGTGATCCAGTTTTGGCAGCTAGATTGACTGAAATCTTAGAATCTGGGAACTGGACGTAATCCCATCTGACTGGTCTCGATCCCTGATTGTCCCAGTCAACAGAAAGGACAAAAGTCCTCTTGTGACAGTCACAAGGGAATCAGTTTAACTAATATAGTTTCTAAATTGTTAGCCACCATTATACTTAGACGTCAAACGAGAGCTCGTGAAGAGCAGACTAGAGAAAAGCAGGCCGTTTTTAATCCCATAATAATAGTATTTCTCGACCTTAAAGCAGAATTCGACTCTGTTGATCGCGAAGTTATGTGGCAGTGTCTGTCATTAAAAGGTGTACCAAAGAAGTACACTAACCTTGTGGAGGCTCACTACTCGAACACTACTGGTCGAGTGAGAGCTCATGGCGAACTGTCGTGGGGATTCTCTGCTTCAAGTCCGTCATGACTGTCCACTCCGTTCCTGTTTAACTTTGTCCTAGACATGCATTTAGAGTCAACTTTATAATCGTCTAAATTTTCAGGTGTGGACCTTGTACCAGAAGACACGCCTGCTGACTTAGAGTATGTTGGTGACATAGTCCTATTTGGTGAACAAGCTGAAAAGTACAGTCTTCTGACTGCCCCAAGCAACAATGCAAGCATGTTCGGGATGCGATTCTCCTCGTCGAAATGCAAAATGTTCCCTCAGGATTGTCTTACATTTGCCCCTGAACTGATGATAGGGAGTGAAATAGTTTAGCGTGTCGACCGCTCCACTTACGTCGAGAGTCTCATCAGTGCTGATGGCCTGGTGACTGACCAGTAAGAGTAGAGGACAGTCGTGGCTTGCTTGTCTTCGATCATAGGTGTTTACGAAGCATTGTTCGTATATTCTGGGACAAGCGAGTAGGCAATGCTTCGTGAGGAAACGAGTACTAGGTAGGAATGACAAATCAATAGATGAAGTAGTGAAACTTCATCAGTTGATGTTGTTGGGACATGTGTTACGTAGGCCTAACCACCGACTGCCTCGAAGAGCTGTATTTTGTGGTATAGTAGTAGGTTGGAAGAAAGCTAGGGGCGGCCAAACCAAAACATGGCAGAAGTCCATGAAGTCACTGACAATCGCACTGAGTCATGATAATAGGTGCAGACTCTCTGGTTAGGGTAGGATTCGAAGATAATCCAATGAGAGATATTTGAAAAGAGAACGTGTTATGAGTTATTCAGACGATTAGAATTTGAGAGGAGATAAAGATGGACGCACATAGGTGTTTACGAAACATTGTTTCTATATTCTGGGACAAGCGAGTAAGCAATGCTTCGTGAGGAAACGAGTACTAGGTAGGAATGACAAATCAATAGATGAAGTAGTGAAACTTCATCAGTTGATGTTGTTGGGACATGTGTCACTGCCAGTCACACTGAATCATGTCGGTAGGTGTCGACTACCTGGTTGGGTTCCGCGAGATGATAATAATCGATGGTTAGAAAACCTGGGAAGCATGGCTCAAAACCGTTTGCAATGGCGCAGGTGCATACTCTTTGTGTTCCATGAAATTCTATCCTTTTGGATTCCTTATCATCTCCATCTTTCTCCTTCCAAAGGTATCTCACTGAATCATATTTTGAACCCTAATCTTCTCCATTTTTGCTAATACTTTTAATACCTCTACTACTATGGGATTTGAACTGCTGAACTTGAGTGCAAAGTTCTACGTTGCTGTTGTTGATGTATTGTCATATTTCGATCTGGTGTTATTTAGCGTTACATCAACGGATTCTTGGCTAGTGGCTCTCAAGCGCTTTAATCAATGACGGAAAATAAATCTATCGATTTAATATTCCTAACCATTAAGCTACCTAACTTACATGTCGCACATAGCTATAGACATATCTGAATACTGATTATGGAAATATACATTTGTTTTACGTATGTCTAATAATGAAATGCTTCAACTTTCTATTTATGTGTGTAGACCTTTTATAAACTTTCTTAACCTTGATATTTATCGCTCGAGAGGGCATTTCAACTATTCATATAGACTTCACTTCAACACGCTATTGTCTATATTAATCTTCATTTCCAGATTCGCAGTCTGGTTCTATCAACTTTTATCATGTGGAGACCAACCAGAAGTTATAGGAATATTGAGGGAGAAAGTTGTTTCAACTATATTATGTAAATATGTTTATTGAACTCGATTGAGAAAACTTTGTTTACTTAATTTTACTGAATAGTAAATAATTTAATTTTGTTTGTAAATCAAAAATAAATGCATTAAGTAAAAAACAAATAAGGACAATGTAATTTATTCAACATGTTTTTAAGGTCATAGGACTTAAAAGGATATGTTGTTTCATGATATTTGGTAAGGGCAATTGGCCAACCCATATCACAAACGAAAGTGCATTTTCATTTACTAGGGGATTATACTTATCATTCATCTGACATATAAGTATGAAACGGTGCTGTAATATCCGACGTATTTCACGTATCACTAAAAGTCTTAAGTGAAGTGGTCCATTCAGATGAAGTTGTATATCTTCTAAGCTGTGAAATTGAAAGCAAAACAAATCAATAATATTAGCGACCGCGTAAAAATCCATGAACTGATTATGAATCTGCTAACAATATTGTCTAGATTCTTTATTAGGCTAGCGTTTGACAATCTGTATTAAGTTTTAACCTGAATTTTTTTAGATCAGTATTCAGCGATGACTAGTTAGCTGACAAGCAGATGGATTACCTAAACTAATCAACATGCTAACTGAAAGGACTTAATTGGTAATTTAGCAATAACAGAAAGTAACAATACAACCTATTAAGTGGTGTGTAAT